AGCTGTGGCAAAACTTGTAATTGTGGAAAAGCGAGATCTAGATTACCATAATAACTGGCATTAAAGACTCTCTTCATCTCTCCACCAGATGAATCACACAAGTCAACCTGCCCGAAAATAACTACCTGTGATGAAAAAAATTCTCTTGAAGTGTGAAAGGGATTCTCCATATGACCAGTTGTTGCTTGTGCAAAAATTGCCTGTCCAAGTGTGGGAGGCCTCCACACTGAAAAAGCAGGTTTTGTTGTTGTTTTTCTTGTTTCACGTTTTCAGTTAGTCACCACATATTTGTCTCTGAAAAATAGGTTGGCATCAGAAGTCCTGGGTTGGTTATCAGTCAGGAAACCATCACCAAGGCCTGATTCTGAAGAACAGAATTCTGTGATAAAATCTCAGTGAAACAGGACCTTTCTAAGAAAATGGTCAGTGGATTTCACCGAGGAGAAAGATTAAGGAGACTTATGATCACAGTAGTCAAGTTGTCTCTAGAAGGTGCAGTTGTCCACACGGACCAGCACAGGGTCCTGACTGACAAGCAAGCATAATACTGTAGCTTAATGTTTCTCAACCTCAGCAACTTTATGATGTGTGCACTTCAATTCCCACAAGTTCCCCAGCCCGCATAATGGAGATAAGAGCAGTCCTAGGTGCTTTTCAAAAAACATCTAGGATCTGGCTTTTCTTCTGTGAGTGGGGTAATGCTTGTATGGAAGTGGTTATTAATACACCTGGGATATTCTGATTTATGCACTCCTTTATATCCATTGCCTTTATGAGTATCATATCTGTATCTGTATCAGATACATACAAGGCTTATTACTGTGACTGGAGATGCATATGCCTTCAATTCCTCACATTGCATTTTCAGAGAGTGAGCTAAATGTTTTTGCTTTAGACCTACAGAGCTCATCCCAGACAGAATGCACAGTTTGAGTCCCCCGTAATTCAAGCTGATGTCCATTGGAAATAGAACAGGGCAGAGGACAGAGCTTCTACTTACCTTGACTCTTTTTCAATAGGCTTCTATATTTTTTTAGACATTGTAGAAGAGCCATGTTAGTCTATAGCAGTGTTTTTCAATTGGCAACTTTGGCAACTTTAAGATGTATAGACCAACTTCCAGATGTGTGTGGGCTTCAACTTCTCCAGCATGTTGGTTGGAAATTGAAGTCCACACTTCTTAAAAGTTGCTAAGGTTGACAAACACTGTACTAGCCAAAACTACCACCATGTATCTGATTGAGTGAGCTCTAGTTCACAAAAGCTTAGGCTTTTTAATAAAATTAGTTAGTCCAAAGAGGTGCAACCAAAATCCTTCTAGCATTTTTAGTGGCATGTGTTGGTATGTGTGTGTACTTGCATGATGTGTGGATTTCATTACATGCTTTCTTTCCAGATAGAGGCTAAAGTTGCTTTTAAATAGTAAAAAAGCATATGCATAAAGTGTTCAGAAGTGACAATCAACAACAGGCATAATCCTTGAAACAGTTTAAAAGCAACTATACCAAGAAGCATAATACAAAAGATTAAAAGCCAGGAAGGAAAATTGGAAGGAATGATTTTACTCTAAGGCATTATTGCCTCTCTTAGGCGCTTATGTGCCACAGTCATTATATTCTTAAGCTTAAATTAAATGAAACAAGGCTGTACTTTACTACTATCACCATTCTTTCTGTCACATGTTATTTCTTGCGCTAAAGCAGGCATTGAAAAATAATAGAAAGATATTGGTAATATTTCCTAATATTTAGAACTCATATACTGTATATCCTAAAAAGTTTCTCAGAGTGAAAAAAAAAAACGAGGCTTTCTTGCTATATGACACTAATGTTGTCCCATGCAATTTTCTCTCTTCACTATAGAAAATAGAAATCAGCAACCTGAAGAATCCCCCCCTCCTTTAAAAAAGTAGATGAGATGCGGCGATGGCGAGAACACTTGGCCATCACCATAAATGGCAACAGAGGGAGCTTTTTATGGTTAGCAATAAGGATGAGGCATTACCAGATGCAGAGCAGATACAAGTTAGCAGCTGTTAACTGGGCAGGTGCAATTTCCTGATGTTCCAACCAATTACTTGTAAATTGTGTTGATGCTACTCATCAACACATCACAAGAAAGAATAATTGTTGAGAGAACAAGATTCCCCCCCCCCTTTTTTTTGTCTCAATATTCAGAACCTAGCGTTGTTGCTATTGGGCACAAAAGATAATTAAATGACTAAAAGGTGCTGCCAGTACTGATCTACTTATTCTACCTCTAGATTATACAAATGTGATACTTAAAGAATATTCTGCTAATGGCTTGACTGTGTTTATCAGCCACTGGGACCATCAAAGACATTTGCCAGTAATATAATTCCCTTGCTTGAATAAGCTCAACTCCTGAGGACTACATGGAGATGTCTAGGTAATTTTTAAGTTTGGTATTGCCTTCTTCCAATGAAGAGAATCATGCAGCCTTATTTACTTGCTGGTCCAGCTCACAGTGCTGAGATTTCCAAATTGTTGCCCATCAGAATCACTCTGTGAGTGAGATGGGCGGTCTCCAAATTTGATATATAAATAAAGTGTAACTTTGATCTGATCTTGCATAACTTTTCTGAAATCAGTCAAAATTGATCAGATGCTGCCACCTGCTGAGGATCCTGCATGAGATAATGTCACAAATAAATTTTTTTTGGGCTCCCAAGTGGGTTTCTATGGCAGACTATATGTTCCTGAAGGTGCAGGGTCAGCATTGCGGTGATTATGGTGAATTCTAACCAGTCCACTCTCTCCAAACAAGGAGAGATATGAGACCACTCATTTGCACTCTGAATAGCCACTCCCTGAGCGGAATCTGCAGGAACTGAAGTTTTGCAATCAACTGGTAACTTGAGTGGCTGGATGGATTTCAATCAAACTCACAGCCGAAATGCACAGAAAGTTGGCAAAACCCTCACTTTCTTAATCACTATCGGATGTAATCAATTTACAGCTAAAGAGTGATTTTCTGAGCAGGAGGATAAAAGAAATATACTTGGTGAATCTACTGTCATTCTTGATTAAAGGAGAGGAAAAAAGCTTTAAGAGGTTTAAATGTTTAACAAAAAGCTTAATAAGAATTAGTTATAAGGAAGTTTAAGAGATAAAGGGGACAGTAATTTTAAAGTTAAATTTTGGTGACAGTGCTTTTGAAATTATTGGAACAGAATTAAATAAACAAGCCTGACAATTACCAGAAAAGTGGCCAAAACAGGAGAAGGGAGGAGGGGATCATTAAAACAACCTGCAGAAATAATATCAGAATTTCTTCAGAAAATGTATAGGAAATTAGACAAATAGTTGTATGAAAGTTCAGATGCAGGAAAGGTTTGGGATGCAAAGACAGCTTCCATGTGTTATTTTATACAACATAATAGTGAACTCAAAGACAAGCTTCAAAAAAATCTATTTACAACCTGTTCTTGAGGTTATAATTGCCACATGCAGTCAAACAATTGCATTTTAGGCACTTGGCAACCAGCTTGTATTTATGACTGGTAGGAGTGCCCATGGCCACATGACTGTGATTTGCAATAGTTTTTTCACTTTTCTGCCAAAAAATGTCTATATGCTGAACTTAACAACCATGCAATTTGCTTAACCACTGCAGTGAACTTATGACAATTATAAAAATGGTAGTAAAATCAAATCCAGTCACACGGTGCCTCAACTTATGAACACAATTATGACAACTTATGACGGTAATTCCAGGCTCTATTGTAATTTTAAGTCAAAACTACCTGTATGAACTTTGGAGATAATTTATTTATACTTCATATGTCTTAGCTGCCTTTTCCCCTCGGATTAAGACAGACTGATTTACATTTCAAGGAAAGCACAAATTGTCGATAAAGATCTAACAAAAACCTGTGATACAAAAATGGACAAGAGATGTCTCCTTTCCTATTTATCTTAATTCTTGAAATATTGAATAGATGAAAGAATTGTAGAAATAAGGATTTAAAAAGAAACATAAGTTAAAGGTATTTGCTGATGACTTTATGCTTTGTTTAGGAGAGGAATGATAGTTAAACAAAAATGGTTAACTTATGCTAATGTCTGCCTTTCTCTCAAGACCTTAAGTTAAAAGCAAGAGATTTGGGATTAAGTTATATGCTGTATATCATTGATTTTCTTATGCTCAACTAATGAGATTTAAATTTGACAAGAATTATGATTTTGAATATGGTAAAACTGAATCTGATGTGAAAATGTGTACAAATGATCACATTATTGCAAAAATGTACTAATTTACTGAAGATGGGAACTGAAGATGAGTATGCCAGACTGTGACAAGACGGGCAACAAAATTCGGATGTACTATATAGTTGGATCAATGGGAGACTATGTAGAAGAAAAAGTAGAAATTCATGCTGAATTACCATCTTAGAGAGAACTTTTATGAAATTATGTATTGTTGGTATTTGACACCAGATAAGTTGTTAAAAATGTATAATGGAATTTCAAATATTTGTTGGAAATTAATCAAACTGAGGTTCTGTTCTTCTATCATTGGTGGCCATGTAAAAAAGGTAGAAAATATTGGGATCAAATTTGTATCTTTAGATTTTTAAAAGTAAATGTACAATTGAAATTAGGTTTTTCTTTTCAACCAAATTGAAAGATGCTGTAAATGTTTTATATATGTTAACAGCAGCAAGACTTCTATATAGATAGGTGGAAAAACTTATAAATACCTACATTGGAAGAATGGTTTCAAAAAAACTGAGAGAATTGGCAGAGATGGTAAAATTGACAGCTCTGATTAAAGAAAAATTTCAACTAATTTATCTCTGCTTGGAAACCAAGTATGTATTTTTTGCAAAAAAAAATGAGAGAAATGAAATTTTGACTTTGGGATTTGATGATTAAAATTATATGGAATTATAAAAATAATGTAAGACTATTATTAAGTTTAAAATTTGATGTATTTTTTAAATTTATATCTATAGTAAAGAAAGTCAGAAGTCATTCTTTTTTTTTTCTTTGCACTTTTATTTTGCTTTCTTTCAATTCGTTTTTTTTCTTGACTTTTTAATTCTTACCTGTGGATTTTCCCCCCGAAATTCAATATTTAATGGCAAATTCTGTGTTTAGTCAATTAAACTCGAAATATCATTACCTTCCTCCATATGTTATTGAAAAATAAAATTTCTTGAAAGCCAAAGCATAGTTAAATGAATTGGAACTTTATAGAAAACTCATTGTTTATAAAATCATATACGCCCATTTTTTACTATGTGATGCCGAGATATATGATTTTATAAACAATGAATTTTCTATAAAGTTCCCATTTCTTTAATTTCATAGTTCTACCTAAAAAGTTAAGATCAAGTGCTGGACATCTTCCCTCTTGTACCTCTCTTATGGTTTCAAGGATAAGCTCTCCCTCAGACCATCAAATATAAGACTGGTGGCCTATAAATTTATGAAATAAACAGAAATACTACAATGTATAATATAAGAAAGTATATTGCCAATAGGAAAATACTAAAAATTCTTAATCTTGTAAAGTTGCTGTAAGGCCACATAAATTTCTGCAACTGCGAGAATTAAAAAGGGCTCCAAGATACATGAAAGAATAATTAACTAAAAAAGAACCAATGTTTTAAATCTTTGATTTATTGACTGAGTCCCTCTAAATTAGAGAAAATCCTATGACGTTTCAAAAATCATGATGATAAAATTACACAAGTGCCTATATTTATTTCCTCTTTTGATATTTGCCTATATTCCTTACTTCAACATACTGATTTTTTTTTTTAAGCAAATGAACGTTATACAGTGTTTTGTTTCCTCCGCTTAAATTTGCAATTCTGGGCTTGGATAGAATTCTTTCTCACATATAATTAACATAATTTAAAATGGGGTGGGAAGTGGGTGGGAAATCAACAGCTTTTGTACTGCTTTTTACTTTCAGTTTAAGAAAATACACATATAATCAATATGAGAAGTTTCATCTTCCTGTACTGGAGGGTAAAAACTGAGACAGAAAAAGTGACATGTTCCTGACCTAGGAAGGAGGAGACAAAAAGCAGCAACTAATCCCAAGGACCCCCACCCCCACCCCTCTTCAGCTTTAAGATCTCCATAGGGCAACTCAGTGAGAGTAGCTGAGGTTTTGTCAGGGACTGTTCACATCCATGCTTTGCATCTTCCCTTCTAGGGCAAAGTCTCCACCAGCTGATTTCTTTTTGCCTCCTTCATGCTGTTTCTTTTGCTTCTTAGACAGTTCTTGATCTATAGGTGCAGGTTTCACAAATTTTATCATTTCCTTTAGACCTAGATGGAATAAAGAGTACATTAAATACTGATGGACAAACATGTCCAAAATGGATTATCACCAAGCATCTTTCTTTCAGATCAGTATTTTCCCTTTCACACCACCCAAACCACAATATATAAAACTATTTCAAGTAGTTACTTTACTACCTAATACCAGCTGTATAAAAGGTCAGATGCAGCATCCAAGCTCACCCTTCTCTTTCCTAGCAAGTGTTACAAGTAGCTTGAAAGGGAGAAAACCCTTAAGTGAAGCTTTCCTGCTCAGGCTTTCTTGGGCACCTTCTAGTTTGTTACTGACTTCCTTGGCTGCAAAATTAATACTAACAAGTACAGCACAACGTCTAAAATATTCTGGTTCAGGAAACCTACGAAGAAAATGGATCTTTCTTAGTTTAATGTAGTTAAGAAACAACAGTTCAGGTCAGCCTCCCATAACTTACTGGCATCAGACATGTTGGGATTAATATTCTCAAGGATCACTCTTAAACAAGTAGTTCTCAGCTTATGATCACGGTGGAGCCCAAAATTTCTGTTGCTGAGACATTTGTTAAGTGAGTTTTGCCCCATTTTACCTTTCTTGCCACAGCTGTCAGGTGAATCACTGCAGTGGTTAAGTTAGTAATTCAGCTGCTAAATGAATCTGGCTTCCCCATTGACTTTGCTTGTCAGAAAAATCACAAAAGGTGGACCCTAGGATTCTGGGATGCTGCAACCCTCATAAATTTTAAGTCATTTGCCAAACATCTGGAGTTCAATCACATGACTGTGGGGATGCCACAATAGTCATAAATGTGAAAAACGGTGATAAATCACCTTTTCAGTGCCACTGTAACTTTGAACAGTCATTAATCGAACTGTTGTTAAGTTGAGGACTACCTGTAGTACCAATTTAGCAGAAGATCAGCGCACAAGTTTCACGGGGAATTCATACAATTCCCTGCTCTAAGGACAGAGTTATGAGTTTTCAAAGGGAGACCTGAATCGGAAAGGAAAATAGACATTCGGGCAACAAAAGCAACGTTACAGAGGCTAAAAAGGAGGTAGGACGGGAGAATGAGCCTTGTTACCCAGTGGCATGAAATCCTTTAGTTTGTCTGGTATAATGATTCCTTCCTCCGTCTGGTAGTTCTCCAGAATAGCACATATAGCTCTTGTTGTAGCACACATGGTGGCATTAAGCATATGTACAAATTCCACCTATGAAAATAAAACTTGCTAAGTTTCATACATCTCCCAAGAAGCAAACATATTTTTCCAGAGACCTTACTTAATCTCCAGGATTTAGCTGTGATTTAAATAACTGCCCGCTATTTTTAAAATAAATTTATACTTAATTTTACACATTGAATCCAAAATCAAAAGATAAAAGAAAATAGTACTTTAAAATATAAAATATAGTAGTACAGAGAAAACATTGCCATAAGAATATCTGGCTAGCAGACCATTCTGCAAAGAATTTTATTTACAAATGCCAAAGCTCTGTGTATACATATATGTGCTTTCATTCATTCATTCTAAACTTTATCGTAATATCAAAAACCAATGATAATCCAATGTTTTTTTTAAAACCTACAAATCTCAGTTTCTATCATCTTTAAAATATTGAATGATAATATTTTTACTTTTCCAAGTTAGCAATTCTACGGTTTATATACAGCTTACCATTAGTTTAGTAAGCTAGATGACAAAGCTGGCAAATAGCCAACATTCAAATTGGACATGCATCTGTACATTTATTTCAGCTTTTCTAGATCACCTCTACCACAAGAATTTCAAATGATTATATTTGGAGCAGCTGCCCTTAAATGCTGAATGAAAAAACATCATGCTATGGCAAAATTGTAGATTTTCTATATAGAATAAAATATGAAAGCAGCTCCAGGAGAACCTTTTTGACTATAACACTAAAAAGTTACCGACAACTGTATAATGCTCCCAAAGTGCTTGAATAACACAACATACTTTATCCATCATCTTTTTGGTTTGGCCATAGCGTATCCGTAACCGCCGTGCTTGGTAATCAGTGCAGTTTGAACAAGAAACAAGCTCACGGAAGGCTCCAGAACCTGGGAACCATGCTTCCAGATCCAGTTTCTTACTGGCAGCATGATTTAAGGAACCTATAATAGCAGGAGGCAGCATTTAGTGTAGTATTAGGGGAAGTAATATTAGGCAAGAATCTCTTGGTCCTCTAAAAATGAAAATGTTAGGATGGCCCAGGATTTTCTTAAACACTTTTGAGAAATTAATTTCTCACTTTGGAAAATTAATACTGATACACAACTACATATTTGAGAAGTCATAAAGCTTCTAATTTTATTAAAAGTTAATGATGAAATGTTGTGCATATATATATTATGGAATCATCTCCCACAACTAGAAATTATTCTGAGAGAGAAGTACCTGAGACAATATTCACAATGTGATAAGGGATGCCCAGTGACTGGTAGAATTCTTCAGCAACGGAAATCATCTCATCAAACATTTCCCAAGATTTATTATCATGCGGTGATGCATAGACAAACTGCTCAATCTAAAAAAAAAAAAAGCTGGGGGATTAGAAATCAAACTCAATAAAATATTGAGACTCAGATTTTATTCTAAGAGAACAGCTGTCAGTATATTATGAATATGAGGATTTATGAAAGTTAACTCATTTGAATGTTATGGAATCTGAAAGTGCTCTTAGTGTTAATGAATTGACATTTAATGACATTATATATAAGCATATTTAAATCAGCGATTTCTGTAACAAAAAATATGCTGCCCAAGAAAATATACCTTAACAAGCCACTCTAAAATTATTACCATTAAGCATGCCATTTAACTGAAATAAACTACCTTGCAAATATTATGATTAACAAACTCATACACAGAATCTGAAACACAAAATGCATTCATTCTTATTAAAATTATTTTATTCTATTAAAAAGCTTTGAGTTATATGTTCACCCCTCATATATTTCCCAAAGACACAGGCTCCTACCTGCCACTGAGTTAAAGAAGCATTTTCATTTCTTATTATAACATTGAATCCTGTGCAGACTGAGTACAAAGACAGAAATCTCTGAGCATAGCTACAATTAAGAGGAACTGATGGAATTTTTTAATTAGACTTCTGCTCCAGTCTATAAGTATGGGTCTCTAGGCAGGTTTGTCAAGTTAACTATTAAACATTCAAAACGTGTGCCATAAAAACAGAATGCAATCAATCAATCTGGATTAAAGGTGGTAGCTATTGTTCTGGGGAATTAGCAACCAGTGCAGCTTTGTAAAGCAGAGATGTTAAATGGGCATACCAAGGCATATCCATTACTGCCCACTCTGCTGCATTCTAGACCATTTGAAAATTCAAGGGAAGCCCCGTGTATACCGCACTGCAGTAGTCAAACTGTGAGGTGACCAGAGCAACTGGCAGTCTGAAGGCATTCCAATCTAGGAAAGAGTGCAACTGGAGTACCAGATTAAGCTGGCCAAATACCTTCCTAGCCACAACTGCCACCTGCCTATTGAGCAACAAGTCCAGGAAGACTCCCAAAGTGTGCACCATCCTTGAATGGGGAAGAGCAACCCCATCCAAGGTCAAATCCCCAGATTTGGGTGGTCCAAACAATCACATGAATGTACAGAAAATAACTTGGAAGCAAATAGGTTAAGAAATGTAACTGACCCAAGATCTTTACTGTAAGCACATGATATATTTGGATAACAGAATGCCATAATAGGGAACTAAATATTCTGAGCTGAGGAAATAGGACCTCTTCTTAAGTAAACATATCGAAGTCAAAGGAAATATGCAATCTATACCTGTTAAGTGGTCCCTCAGAACTCAACATACCATCATTTTCCACTATTAGTCTTAAATAAAGAACAAAAACAAGTTTCTGGTCTGTTCCATAATAATCTAAATAAGCTCTGATGACACTGAGCATAGCTTAGAAAGGCACAGAATTGGGGGTGGGTGGGGCTAAATAACTGTTTTTAGGTTGGTTGAAGATCAACAACATAATCTATTTTGATATTTAAGGCTGACTGAATTCTATATGTACAGAAATATTCAGCGGTGTTACTTGTATCCAATGATTAGGAACGACTCTTTTACCAAACCTTTCTTTTCAAAATATGTTCTTAAAATACAATTTTAACTTTGCCTTGTGGATCTTGGAAACAGTAGTGAATGCATAAAGAGCAATCTGTGCATTCTGGCCTTTCAAATTTTACCAACTTTTATAAAGTGAAGGCAGCCACAAAGAAAAACTGCATATATTTTTTCACACCCTTCCCCCAAAACTAGATGGCATTACCTTTTCAAACTGATGTACTCGGAAAATGCCTCTGGTATCACGACCGTGAGAGCCTACTTCCTGGCGGAAGCAAGTAGAAAGCCCAGCATATTTGATGGGTAGATCTTCCGGCTTCAGCCATTCATCCCTGTGCAATGCTGCAATTGGTTGTTCAGATGTAGCAATTAGATATTTTTCATCAACAGTATTATCATCACTCTTCTCACTGCCTTTTCCCAGGACCTAGGAAGAACTTTGGAAATCAGAAAACTGCAATAGCACGCTGTTATATCTACACACTTCCTTCTTCAGATGAATGGAAGTTTAAATTAACTCAAGTATGTGCTTTACAAATATATTTACACATTTAAAATATTGTTATTAAGACCATTAGTATATAGACATGGGCCATCTCTTTTTGTTTATTTTTAAACTTCTATTTATAGGAGGAACATTTCTTTTCCAACAGGAGGGTAAACATTTGAATTAAAAGTGATATACAGCTAATTATCCTATTGAAAGTTTTACCAGAATATGTGAAAAATTCCCATGACTCCCTGGATAGTCTAATCACCCACTGAGATAGCAACAAAGATAGTCTAGAACAGGTATGTCAAACTTGTGATGTCACGTGATGTCACATGACGTGTCGCGACTTTCCCCCCCATTGTCGGCAATGAGGTGGGCGTGGTTTCGGCATGATGCATCTGGCCCGTCAGCCGGCAGTTTGACATGCCTGGTCTAGAAGCTCACAGCCAGTGCTATTGAAATAGTACCGTTTTTCTCACATCTTACCTTGTACAGCTCTTCATCAAACTGACTTAGCTGGGCCACTTCCTGCATTACTTCTTTTCTCATGAAGAAGGGTGTATAAACAGGGGTGTATCCCTTGCTAAGCAGTGTCTGCAAAGCATACTGAATGAGGGCCTGCTCTAGAAAAACCAAAGGTCCCTACAACAAAATGGAAACAGATTAACACCATGCTTTAAAAATGCCTCAGGACCCTATATTCAGGCTGTCTTCTACAATTAAGAAGACCTATTTATAGAAGCTTCATTCATCCAAGTTTACTTTAAATCCACGTGGGGATCATATTCACTCTCCCACCCTGAGATACTGTAGCTGAAGCATAACTCCTCAAAGTGACAGCCAGGTGAGAGCTTTTGCGAGTTATATTAACAAAAGCTGGAAGGAATTAGGTCTCCCACCTTTTATGAAGATGATAATCATTACCTTAAGGAAGTATCCTCTACTTCCAGCTACAACAGCTCCTTTTTCTCCCTCGTAGCCATCCACCATGACAACCAGATCCACGTGAGAATACTTCTTCCTTTCAGTGCAGTTTCCCCAAATTCTCTCTTCTTTATTATCCACATCCTACCCATTTGATAAAAGGACACTTTGTGTGACTGAACTAACCAAGAAAAAGCATATCTGTCCAAACAAAAACCTACTAGACGTTTTGTTTATTCACAACGCAACTTTGACTTCCATTTAATTGCACACTAGCATTTAATAAAATGGCCAGAAGCCTTTCTGCATTACACAGTTCTCTGTCTATGTGGATTGTGATGAATGCTTCAAGGACTACCAAAAGATGACAGACATTAGTATTTGGTCTAATATGAAAACATGATGGGTACTCTGGAAAGTAAAAATTACATTCAATGATTCCTCTGTACTGGAGAATTCCTTATAAAGGAATTCCTTGTTGCTAATTTAGTCTCGTAAAAAGTACTATTTTGCAATGCAAGTGATTACTTACAATCTGATAATAACTACTAAAAATTCTAATAATGACTGATCCAACAGTTTATTATATTAAAACTGGTGTTGCTAGACACTGGTTCTGCTGGCCATTCAACTACCTTCTGCTCACCCTTAAATTTACTTACCAGCTGCTATTGGGCTACAGAGCACACGAAGAGGGACCAGTCTATCGGCTCTTTTGACTACTAATAAGAACTCTATCACTTTCAACAACAGACACCAGTGTGAACTTCATTCCATCTTTCTTATACTTTCTGGATCACATTTTAGACTGTGAGGTCAATGGACCGTAGTGCCTTAACTTTACTTGACCTGTGTGCTACCTGGGTGCTTATTTTTGCCCGAAGAACAGAGTAAAATGGTCTAAATAAACAAAATGGAGTTGATCTTATGCCAGCCACACAGTTTGCTTCCCATTTATATTCCAAATAAGAATATGATTTAGCACATAATTGGTACTTTTATATTTGTGGCTTTTTTCTTTAAAGAATGATATTATAATGCAAACCATATTAAATTCTCATTCTCCTCACCAGGGATTAGTCATGCCCACACTACTGTTGTGCAAAAAAACCCTCAAATTAGATTCTCACGATTGTTTCAAACTGACCATAACCAATCACACTGTACGTTTACATGCAGGTCATGAAAATTGCTCCCACCTCATCATTGCTGATTGGCACAGAGGGATGAAGAAGATTTCCAATTTCTCTGAGATTTTCAAAGCGCTCTGCTTCCAGTTTCAAGCGTTCTTCATCACATTTCAGGACTGCTTCATCAATTAGGAGACGGATTTTCTTGATTTGGCTAACTTGAAGACTCTGAAGCACAAGAGAATGGCTGGGTGTGTCAGCATATCATAATGAGAGAAAATTTTAAAAAGAGAATTTTAAGAGGGCAGAGCTGTAACTGTATGTTCATCATATTTTAGCTGAAAGTTTATCATACCAAACATGAGGTTAAGAAAGGGGCTTGGCTTATATGAGGAAAATGTGATTAAAGGCTAATTTTGACATACTTTGAATAGTAATAATAACATGACAATACAAGAGATAATTGGTAAAATTACTAATCCAAGAATGAGAAAGATCAGTAGTAAGATGCAGTAGCATGGATGTGTTCAGGAATACAGATAGGAAAGGCTTCTTCCAGAAGTCCCTCATTTTATTTTCCACCTTCCCTGTCTTAATATGTCTTATGAATGGAACTACGTTGGTGTATAAGCCATAGTAGATGGCTTAGCATATCATTCAAGCTCAGTAAATTGTTTATTTACTATCAAAAGTAAGCCAAAGGTTAGCATAATATGTGAATCAAAATAATATAGTTCAGCTCAAAGTGCAAGAGAAATGGAAGAATACACCTAAAAAAATACTGAACTGTATTTTGAAGACAAGCAAATAGCACAATAATGGAAATAAATTCAAGAATACATGAAGAACAGAAATCCATCAAGTTATACAAACATCCCTCTCCAAATTTAAATCATATAATGTATCACTTTCTCAAATACAATGCATGCGTTGAAAGTCACTGAATAACGGAATAAGAAATGAACTTACTGTTAAGATGTCTATTGTGAGTTCGTCAAGATTTTGTGCATGATCTGGTATGTTGTCACTGTTACCCACAGGTTCTTTCTTCTGTAAATAAAAATGTAATTAAAAAAAAACAGGTCAGCAAAGAAAAAAATAATAGAAAAGATTATAGCTTTCAAGGCACCTCTGAATTCCATTTCTAAATTTCCAGAAAAAATTAGTTACCAAGACAAGGTATGACTGAACAATTATAAACTAGGCATTATATTTCGTGAGGAAAAGGCAATATGCCTATTGTCTAAATATATAAAACCCCAAGAAAAGAAAAATCCAAAGACTTTAAAATGGTTGTTTGTCCTTACTCCCTCTCACATTTCCATATTGCTTACATATTTCTCAGAAAAATATAGATGGGTTTATTTCAAACTTTTCAGGCCTTTGCATCTCAATTCTTATTAAATTACCTCACTTTTGCAAATTCTGCAGATTTGACAATGCTTAAAGCCTAATGAAAGCATATCATTTAGCATTATTTGCTGTAAACTCAATGGCTCTCATCTCTGTATTTATCAATAAATGAAGGGAAGACAACCAATTCTTTTTAAAAAGGTATTTCTAAGAATTAAGAATTTGTCAGTGCTAAGCATTGTTCTCACTCATCTTTCTTTGTAAAATGGACTTCAAATGGTACCCTTACCTTTAAAGCCCTATATGGCTCAGTGCCTGGCTATTTGCGAGACCGCCTACTACCTCATAGTTCCTTTCGTCCGGTTAGATCCCACAGGCTGGGCCTCCTTCAGGTCCCGTCGGCCAAGCAGTGCCATTTGGCGGGGCCGCGGAGGGCTTTCTCTGTGATGGTGCCCACGTTTTGGAACCAGCTCCTCCCGGAGATTAGGATCGCTCCCACCCTGTTGGTTTTCTGTAAGCTGCTTAAGACCTGGCTTTTCCGGCAGGCCTGGGGTTTATAAAATCTGACCCCTGGATGACTGTTCTTGTACTGTTTGTTTTGTTATGTTTTATGTGTTTTTATTGTTAGCCACCCAGAGTCCTCCGGGAGTAGGGCGGCTTATAAATTTTAAAAATAAAATAAATAAACAAATACCCAAATCATTCATACCAGATAAAATGAAGCAGTTCATCAAGTAGTTTCTGTTTCAGTTTGGGAAGGGGGGGGGGGAAATCACTGATTTTATTATTCGGAAAAATCACACTGAATTCCACTCAGCTGCTTCGGTATATTCATTTTCAAATGTTTAGTGTATGTCATGATCACAATTCAAGTGTGCCACTTTCCCCCACTGTTAGTTTATATACCACCTGCTAAGCTTAAATGTCTCTGCTAATCGAATAGTAGGAAATCTTTATTGGAAATCTTTATTGGATTACCTAAGATTCTACCCTGAGGAAACATTATATCACTGCAAAGAATCAGAGTTGTATTACCACACAAACATTGTATTTTTCAGGGCCCTGTCTCTATGCATCAAGAGAGAAGGAACAACTATTCCTTCCCCTTAGGACAGCGGTTCTCAACCTATGGGTCGCGACCCCATTTGGGGTCGATCGACCATTTTTCGGGGGTCGCCAAAGGCGGCGATCCGCCATTTTCTCCCCTCCGGGGGTGGCACCGCACATGCGCGTCGCGCCTCAGGGCGGCGCCGCGCCTCGGGGGGGTGCCGCCGTGCATGCGTGCCGCGCATGGGGGGCCGCCCCCATGCGCGCCGCGCCGTGCATGCACATAACGTTTGTGTGACGGGGGTCGCCGTCACAAAGCGTTGAGAACCGCTGCCTTAGGATATGGAGAAAAGGATCCATTCAGGAGAGGACCGCTAGTCATCAGCAGGTAAAATGAAAAGCTTCACAGACTGCATTCATCTGATGGGAGTTTCCAATCCAACCTTTACAACTGCTTAGCAAGTTAATCACATAATAATGTATAAAAGGTTGGATAAAGTAAACAAAACCAGAGCATGCAATTTCAATTTATTATGATTTTGTTCAATGAGGTAATAACATTTTTTGCTTTGAATAGAATATACTGCACCTTCATTTTTTCTCCTATAGTTTTGCTGCACAAGTTCTTCAGTTTGTTCAGGTTGTCTGCCCGGAATCTGCCTAGAAGAAATACACCAAAAATTTTACAAAACCTGACATTTAAAGGACAAACTTTCCAATGCAATGCTAAGTCCACTTTTGTATTACTATTAGTGGCAATTAAGTACATTCATCAAACAGATGGAGAAAAGTACTGCAGAAATATTAGAAAATTATATTTTCCAATCGAAGTGAAAAGTTCCTTCTGTAAAAAATACAGATACTTGATGTACAACAGTTCATTTAATGATCATTCAAAGTTACAATGGCACTGAAATAAATCGACTAATCACACTTATGACCGTTGTAGCATCCCCATAGTCACGTGATTTATATTTGGATGTCTGACAACCAGGGTGGATAATAATCGATTTAAAAAAAATCAAAAAATCGGATTTTTTTTATTTAAATCAGATTTTTTTTATAATATTTATTTTAATACAATGCTTTTGGAGTAAAAAAATCTATCTAAATATAGTTTTCTATTTAAGATACATTAATAATTTAGTTTATTCAGCATGAAATGGAGCTTAGTTATATATATGCATTGATGCATTCACACAATTTCACAGTAACCATGGGATAAATCATAAAACAGAGTTCAGGAATATTCTTTTATCCCATTGTTTTCAAATCTATATACACTACAAACTGTATGATTGTTTGAAGAGAAATGCACCTGTACCAGGCTCTAAGTGTTTTAATTAAATAAAAGAATTTTAGTAGTTCTCCAGCTATGTGTGATTAACCTATTAACCTAAAGTCACTTTTGATATCGCTGTTTTACTAACCTGACAGCTTATTATTCTAAATAGGAAACCTTCATTTTGTTTGCAAGTAATATTTAAGATTCTAACTATCAGCAAGAATGAGTCCTTACATTTGAAGAGCACCTGTCATTTCAGATCCATCATGGCAGCACAGCGGGTATCCACTCACCTGCTGCCCGCCATGTCCCTCACCTTGTTGTGTCACTGCTGCATCACCAGCCGTCTCATTAAAGTGAGTGGGACTGTCGGTGTCAACAGCAGGTCAGAGATGACAGTTGCTCTTTAAAAATTATAATTTAAATCGAGTTGATTTAAATCAAGCCTTTTTACTGGTGATTTAAATCATGATTTAAATTGACTTGATTTAAATCAAATCCACCCTGTTGGCAACTGTTTCGTATTTATGACAGCTGCAGTATCCTGGGATCATGTGATCATCTTTTGTGACCTTCTGACTAGCAAAGTCAATGGGGAAGCCAAATTCATTTAACAACCGTGTTACTAATTTAACTGCAGTGATTCACTTAACAAATGTGGCGAGAAAAGTCATACAATGGAGCAAAACTCACTTAACAAATTTCTCATTTAGCAATATAAATTCTGGGGTCAATTGTGGTCGTAAGTGGATGACTACCTGTACTAATAACTAAAAAAACATATTGGCTTTTGTCTCACTTGCATCTCTTTGCACATGCTTAGACATAAGACTGATAAAAGCCACTAAAGACTGGTAGCTAAACCTTACTTGCAAATGGACTATTTCTATTATGTGACTGTGGTATCTAGATTGAAGGATCCCAGATGTGTTGTGTGGCACATATATATCTCCCCTCCAACATCTCCAAGGAATCTGCTTCACGCTCCTGCACTTTCCTGATATTTCTACTGGCCAGTTGGCTAATTGCCCTGCTGGTTTCAATCAATCTGAAATGGCTAAAGGGATACACTGCAGGATGGTTGTGCCATTGCCTATGCAGGAAGATATTACAAACACAGCACATCGTGCTGTAAGAGTCAGGCAGCATATAAATGTATTGTTGTTTTGCTGCCTAACTAAGTCTACCACCAAAAGCAGCTGATTCCTTACGCCAAAAAGTGGGACCAACCTACAAATACAAAGGATTACTCTTACTGAAAGAAACTATTTCCATTCTTGAATGGAGTTCATTTTCAACTGAATGATATTTTTCATGGCTTGGAAAAATGAACAATAAAAATAACCTGAAGTTCTCATTTTACTACTGCATTACAATGGAATTCTAATTGACTTGAATGGTAGGCCTTCTATCACCTTCAAAGCCCTAGTGGCTCATGCTGCCAAGAGAAAGGAAAAGGTGGAGTTAACTTTTTTAGGCTTCTCATCCTAAACCAATTCTAGGCTGATTCAATAGATCCAAACTAATTCTGTCCTACTCCTAAAATATCTTACATTAGTGCTTTTTACTTGTCTTTAAAAATATTTATTAAAATATTTCTATATTATGCATTCATAGAACCCTGAGATAGCTTAGAGATGAGTATAAAATGATGCATTTTCAAAGGACATCAAATCCCAAAATACAGGCCTTTTCTTTCTAAGAAATAAAGCAGCACTGCCAAACAGAAAATGAAACTGTAAGACGGGTATTTGCAGCATCCAGAAGTCATTTTTCAGGGTGATGACAAATACAGCAGGATTGCATCAGATTCAGATGCACCAGTACCTGAACTGTGTACACTACTGACAAATAGGGTAAATTTGCCAATTTAAAAAGCACTGCAATGCTGAAAAATAAGGCAAAATCTACTCTGCAGTGGAGGGAGCTCATTGCACTATACAATTCTCATGACAAAAAAAAATCTCTACAATTGTTCTTGTGGGATGCTTTTCCTTAGGATGACAGAGAAACTAGGGAATTCCAAGCAGAAACTGAATTCCCCCTTCCAAACTTTCTGGTTTACTGTACTCTTTTGTTCACAAAGTTTCACTTTAAATCTATTTTCCCACTAGACCTTCGAGATTTACAACAATATGGGCACACTCTATATTGCAAGATATCAGCTACTAAGGGACGCCTACCTCAATAAAGTTAAGATAGGAAGGAGATACTCTGTATTGGGGCGCGTTCACATGTAAGCAAAGAAAGCATAAGGACAGCCCTCGTGGACAAGATCAAAGGTTCCTAACCAGATGTCGGGGGGGGAGGTGGAAATCACAAGCCAGACAGGAACACGCGAGCCCCTCCACTTCACGCGATGCTGCCACTGACATGACCATTAAAAATAATATGCCGTCCGGAAAGTCGGCGGCCCTGATTTTGCTAGCAGATTCCTCCTTTCCACCACGGGACAAGCCAGATGGCTGTCAAGAGGCTAAAAGCGGAAGGGAGGAGCAGACACACGTATGAATGGGACGCTCAAGCAGACCGGCCAGCGCGCAGGAAGGCACGCGAGACCAACACAAGGCTGACGGAGCCGGGTCGGACAATGGCTCTTTTCCTCGCTTTCTGTCAAGCCTCGCCGCGAAAATGGGCCTCGACACCCCCCCCCCCTACACACACCTACACAACTGCTCACTCACATCTCCTCCAGGCCCCGTCGGCAGCCACCAGCGCGTCCACCAGAGCCGGGTCTTTGAAGCGCTTCAGCTGCATCTTTCGCACGAGCTCCGGGTCGCCGCCTTTATCAGCGCGGAAAAGGTCCAAGTCGAGCACCATGGCGGCGAAGGAGAGCCGCCGAGGCTGAGAGGAAAGAAACCGGAGCCCGAGGGGAGCCGCGGCGGCAAAACGCGAAGAGGCAAGGACGACAGCAAAAGGGCGCCTGCGCAGTAGAGACGCAGAGGCAGAGAACTGCGCGCGCGCCTGAAAGAATTTCCCTGCCTGGGCGTGGTGAAGGAGCTGGGGCGGTCCCTGGCGTTTTCCATAACGCTGCTTCCTCGGCTCCCCTTGCCAAAGCGCATCTGCCTGCGTAAATGAAACGAGAGGCGCTTTACAGGCGGCTTCACACTTTCTGTGGCGAAGGTTTAGGCCAGAGGTAGGCAACCTCGGCTCTTTTATGACTCATGGACTTCAACTCCCAGAATAGTCCATGAGTCATAAAAGAGCCGAGGTTGCCTATCCCTGGTCTAGGCAAAGCTTGGGGATGGACAAACTGAGGGATGGTGTCATGAAAGTTTATGAATCGCCCCGACCTGAAACACTGCAGCTCACACCATCTGCGCAAATTGCTTCTGGTGGCGAGTGTGGCCGGGCAAGCCGAATGGGTGGCACGCGGGTAAAACCCTTTACGTTTTATATCTTTTTCCTTTTTCTTGGAGGTGTCTTATTGAATATAAAAGAACGTAAATGAGAAACCTTGGACTTTTATACTTTTAAGACTGTAACAAGCATTTTATAAAGTCTCTTACCACTATACAATAAATGTGTAAACTGAATCTGGGTTGCCAGACTTTTTAATCGGGCATCACTCTCTGAAATCCACAGAAAGGACTAGGAAGGACAAACTGCAGTCTGGTCCGATGTTGCTGAGCTGTAACTCCCTGCTCTTGTCTGTATGCTGGCCAGGGCTGTTGCAAATACTTGTGTGTTTGGGCAGCTACAGGATGACTACCCCTGCCAACCATCAGTTTGGTCTAAGCTGCCTTTGGTTGGTTCCATGTACTTGAAAAGCAAATAGAGCATTGCTGTAGGTTTGGATAGAAACTGCTGTGCATATGGTTTCTCAGTATGTTTCATCCCAAGTATGCCACCGTGACAATAATAGTATACCCATTCCAGTATCATTTATCATGCAATTGATCCAAAAATGTAATACTAATAAATAGGTTCCTAGCATATTGTACAGAAAGGATTATTTCTGTGTATTCCATAGAATGGAGATTCAGTGGCTATTTCTCAGCTGTCCACAATCTAGCAGTCTCCCTTGCCAGATAAGAGATGACAGGCTTATTAGTCCTGTGCATCTAAAGAGCAACAAATTGGAGAAATGTCTATGGAGATTCTCAATCATCCTGGTCATGTTTCTTTTTATCCAAGAAAGTCCAGTTGGCTTTGTTTGCAAAAAGCATCTTTGGGCCAGCAAATTGGAGAATAGTGGAATCAAAGTATATCTTCTATGTTTTGGTTCTGTCTTTTTGCTCCTAGTTGTTCTCAAGTTATCTTCAAGTTGGGTTGATCAGAGCTGTGGAATAACAGATGCACTTTGCAAATAAAAAGCCCTAGCCATAGCATCTTCATTAAATAGGCCCAGAGAAACCTGAGATCCTACAGACCCATTATTAGGTAGGATTGTAAGTGCAGGGCAGCTCCTGTTCTGTTTTCTGTAGCTTGAATACCAAACATTATTATAAAAGTTGATTAAATAGAAATCAGAAGCTTTTCTTGGTCTCTCTTTTTTTCAGTTCATCTAAAATGAACAAAAAAAGGTGAAAGCCCACACCCAAAGTCATAAATGTACATTAGTTCTTAATCAAAAATCCACATGCAATGTTGTCTCCATAAATTACAAAATTGTATTGACCTTATAAATAGAACCCAGCCCATTATGCACATAGAACAAAATAAGCTTCAGTTTATCATCACAAGGCTGAAAAGCTCCCCCACAGGTTTATAAGTGTAATTAAATCAATTTTATACAGCATTGCAAAAGTTGTCATATTTTTAAGAAATGTATCATATTGTAGTCCCTGAATAGCATTTTTATGATTCATCCAAGCTCTGAAAAGTCCTTGAAGATTACTATTGGAATAATAAAATATCTGACATATTATTAATTATATATTAAAAAGATTACACTTTCTTCCAAAACCCTCAAACATGTACAAAAATGTGGAAGCAAAAATCCCCTCAGCATAATATACCACAACAATACAAAACAGTAATGCTGTTATGTTATTAAATAGACAAAAGTACTTTTCCTGTCTTACATGAATGAAATTTACAAACATGTGAATTACAATTGGGCCACATTCTCATAGATGACATATAAGAAAATCTAGATGCTATACAGTAGTGTATTCCCAAGCCTCTACAGTAGATAACATTAAGTAAGACTAAATATACTTAACCAGTGGACAACACTCTAGCATTAGTATCTTTTGAGAAAATACTAGAAAAATATAAGAAAAGGGCATCTCTGAATCTTAAGAAGTATGGCTGCTCTTCAAGGTCCATTTCCATACTTCTGAAAAAAAACATTCCTATTGCTCACTGCTCTGCTATGGAGTAATTCAATGGCTTGTTTTACAAATAGTAGAAAAACCATAATGTGATTTATTTATTTTGCTTATATGATGTGTGGCTGCATCTAGTATGACTTAGCATTTAGTATACACCAATTATGGTTTGTTTAACAAACCACAATTAATGTTTACAAATTTTGATTTGGTATTATATTTATTATAAATGAGCCATTCATATATTTAATGGCTACTGATGCCATTAAATGGACCAAGACTTTTCCTTCCTTATATTAAAACACATATTCAGCAAAATACTGTCACTGAATGTGATTGAGTATGTTATGTTGCATACACAAATCCAAAGGAAAGCTTCAAGTGTGGAATTCTGTTTGGACTGCTGCTATCAAGTTTTCTACAAAGTTAGTTTTGGGCCTTTATTTTTTTTTTTAAAAAAAGGTTACTTTCATAACACATCTAATTTTCCAAACTGAGAAGAAAATAACAGATCATTTAGAAATGTAATAAATACATAATTTGTGAGAATAGCTTTACAACCCTGTCCCCATTATTAGTGGAGCAGCCTCTTTCCCCTTTTGATCCTCTACAGTTACATTACTGAAACATCATGTTTCGATGATGTTGATAATCTGAATGTTAAATTTAAGATTCTGACATTATTTAGAAGTGATGCTCTGAAATGAGCAGATATACAGATCCACCACCTCTCCATGATTCATTAAAGCAGTTATCCAAAAGCTTTTCCCGCAGCCGCACAAATGTAAGCAATCCTGCTTTAAGAAGTCCTACACTAGTGCTGTGTCTACATTCCCTTATGCTCCAGAGCCTCTTTTGAATTGATTAGAATACTGCACTTCTGTTACTATATGTTTTAATACAAGTGATGGTTTTTAGTACATCAGTTGTTACTGTTTTGAATACGGTTGGAATTTAAGTGGTCTCCTTTCTTTTAAAAAGAAACAGAGGATGAAACTATCATAGGCATTTTCAACTTGGATAGGAGAAGCTTCATTGGGGCATATGGGCCCACTTGGATAGCTTTTTTTATTATTATGAACTATACTGTATTCTAGCCAAATATCTGCCCTACCTTTCTTTATCCTTTGAGCTTCATTTGAAACTAAAAATAAATTTTCCTGTCCTGAGCAACAAGAAACTCTCCTAAGTTATTCTTATGACCACTGATAAATTTGTCCCATAACATCTTACTGTATTACATGAGCATAACCATCCTATCCTCAGGCAAGCACTTTTGTATGGAAAATATAGGAATTTTTTTTTAAAAAAAACCTGATGCTTGATCCCAAATTGATTTGGTAATCGTAGACAAGAGTTGCTTTTATCTATTGTTTAAATAACTAAAGTCCAGTTGGCGAAAACCAGTCAAGGTACTATGGCAGCCTTCCATTACAGGACACGTTTTAGTCAGTGTTATTATGCTGACAATCACTCTGGCTTGCAAGGTTTGTAACTACTCCATAAAATGAATTTGTTCTACCATATATGTCTTTTGGGTGTTCCAAGACATGGTTGTACTACAGACATTATCAAACAACTGGCAAGCCATAATAGATGCTACATTTACTTTACATATTGTGAACTGTATAGAATGTTTCAAATTATTGCAACTAACAACTGATTCATGCAAATCTGGTTGTACAGTTTCCTATTGGGTAGGAAAGCACAGTTGATAACTATACTCTCAGAGCAATTTCTGCCCTTCTCATCTCTATATCATTTCTAAGAGGCTGTCACAGTCTCAATTTTTTTCAATTACTGTCACAGTAAAAGCTATTAGGCCTTTTAACCGTGAAGTATGCTGATCATTAGGATTATAGTATTTTTCAGTTTTATCATGCATTAGTACTTAAGGCTATTTGAGTAAAAGCATTTAGCTTGTCTCATTTTAAAGTAATATTGGTTATCTCTCTTGAACTAATATAGCTATATCCCAATAAATATAATCCATTTCAAACAATATAACAGTCCTATTCCTGTAAGAGCAACAATTTCTGCTAACTGCTTTGGCAAAAAATGGCTTAAATCAAGTTTCCCAAAAATTGTATCTCTCAAATGTGGTAGAATGCAACTCCCATTTCTGTCAGCAGACGGGTCCTGCTTTACAGGCTGGGAGTGATAGTGGCTGTGGTTCCAATACATCTAAAAAGCATTTGAATGGAAAGGCTTGGTTAAACATTTAAAAAATGGACTGTTAAAATCATTACAACTTTCAAAATATATTTAAAGTAGAATGTGGATAGCAATCTATACTACGGGGTGCTTTAAGTACATATTTGAAAAAGTACTGCATTCTTTTTTATAAATAGAGTATTTGGACGTTCAGAGGAATCTAAGGGGGATTTTTTTACTTGGAGGAAAGCTCTATTGAACTCAATGGGAATTATTTCTGAGGTAGAGAAGTATACCGTCAAAAATGAACTTGGGTTTTGCATATTCCACCCTCAAGGTTATTCTAACCTGCCAAAACAAACAAAGCAACAAAATCAGTCAATTTTAACTTGACAATTGCCAGTTATTAGATGTTGCCTGAATTCCAAAGCCCAAATTGTCAACCCTTCCCAAGTATAATGGAGGAAATAATCTCTAGCTACCGGTAGTTGCTCTGAAAAATTCTTAAAGAGAATAATATGAAGGTAAAATCACAACAAAGTACCTGAACTCAAAATATTCATGTTATTTTGGGCCATTTTCACTGTGTTAACACTCACAAGTCATCTAACATACAGTTGAAGGGAGTGAAGGTTCATTCTCCAAGCTTGAAGGTTGGTTTCCAAACATTTCATTACCAGGCTAGGTAACATCTTCAGCAGTGTTTAGTGGATGTCTGTGTCAGTGTTCCACTTATATAAGCGCTTCAGGTGTGGGAGTGTCAAGTGAGGGTCTTGTGATGGGCCAGGTGTGAGTCATCAGAGAGAGGCTTGTGATGGGGAGGTACTTCAGGTCAGGGTCATTGGAGGGTGTGAATTAGTGGGTCAGCCCTTATATAAGTGGAACACTGACACAGACTAAATACTGCTGAAGATGTTACCTAGCCTGGTAACGAAACATTTGGAAACCAATCCTCAAGCTTGGAGAATGAACCTTCACTCTCATCCTACACCTGAGCTACAGATATTCACCACTATTGCATACAATTGAAGCTCATGTCAGCAGACCTTGTTTTCAGGTCTCCTGTATTGTCCTTTGTGGTCTTAAGTATTCATTCAAAATAATTAGTTGTTTAAGTCAGTTTCTATAATCCAATGACTTCCAGCTGTGTCAAACTGCAACCCCATTGTCCTCAGCCAGCCAATATCTTTGAAGCATGCCAGATTGGAGAAGTTCTTTAAAATTTAGAAGGCACTGAAAAAAGCAAGAAAACCAGAAAAGTCTTATATGACAGGAATCTGTCCTATAAGATAAGCTTTTCTGGGTGGAATCAGGGCAGGGAAATGGCCTGACATATTAAGCAGACTCAGTAATTTCTTACAAAGATGGAGAATGGGTTTAAAATTTTGGTTTGCTATGCTAGAGGTTTTTCTTTATCGTTGCAGTCATTGTTATAACATTTACAACTCAGAGTTTAGGAATGATCTGGAATCCTAATCTGACTGAGTTGCATAATATGGCAGAAACCTTATTAGGCCATGGAGCTTCACATATGCTACTGTCAGGATAGGCGCACCAGCAGCACAACTCCTTAACCACAATGCATTTTCCTGAAAGGTCATTAGCAAGGCAAATAACAGCATTTTTCAAGTCTTGGAAAAGGTAAATGCAGATATTTTTTCCTTGTGGTTTTAAAATAAAAGGACTGGAAATAGAAACAATTGCAGAATAGCCAGATATCCTGACAGAGAAAGATAGGCCTGCTTTGTTGAGGAGTCCTCAATAGTACAATAAAATCTTTAGAGGCAAATTGGATGTAACTGTTGTTATACTAGCTTCCTTAGGAGGGATGTTTGTAGCAAGCTACAAAAAGCAGATAGAAAGTTTTACAGCACAATTTTAAACATTCTTCTTAACACAAAGACGTTTGGTACAATAGGTCTTACTCAGAGAAGCAGTTTGTTTTAGCAGAGTGACATGACTTTAAATCAATTTTACAGTTCTTTAGCTATTATAGAGAGAATGTGTATAATGTCACTAGCTTTACTGCAAAAAATAATGTTTTGTGGGGATTTTTTTTCTTTATCACAAAAGAGTGACATACACATATACATCCACACATAATTTTAAAAGCACAATTATATTTGGCACAGTTTGTTTTTGGAGAAATGTTAAAATGTTTGACTTAAAAAAGTACAGTAAGAAGCTGAAGTTAAAAGATATTCCAATAAGGCCACATGGCAAGTTCATCAAAGTGCCAGTATTAATCAAGGAGAACTCCCAAAGCATCCTCCATGAAAGGTGTGGGAGAGGCAAATCTCTTCTAAAGATCCATGTCGGTGGTGCCAGAGGAGGTCTTCAAGGGCACAGAATCAAAACCATCAGATGTTCTCTAAAGATAATACAAAAAGGAAATGTGAATAAAACTAGAATACATGAAGATTGTGTATACTTTGTCATTCAGAATCCTATTTTTATAGGAATCAGGCCAAACATTGCCATAATCTTTTATCAAGTGGCATGGAAAGGGCAAACAATGCAATCCTTATATTCACAGAACATGAGAACGGCTCCCGTAAGAATTGATGGCGCAACAAGTGTTTTAGGTGTACCGGGACTGTATCTTCCAGAGTTCCCAGGCAGCAATACCAAAGCTCAAGCAAGCTGGGAATTCAATAAATGTAGTTTCAACATGTTAGTGAGTCTAATATTTCTCTACCAGTTGCCTCCATGTTCTTCTGAACATATTCCAACATGGGTGGAGCATTCAATAGCAACTGGAGACTCTCTGATTCTTACCAGAAACTTGCTTTTGATGTTTCTTTCCCAGGTGTCCACACATGATTTTGCTTCTACTGGGAGGTATCAGTGCACTGGGGGCCAAAGAAGGGTCCATTTGAGGATGCTTGCAGTTAAGATACAGTTTAGCTGCTTGTGAATAGCACTGGATACTTCCCACAATCCCTTTTCTTGAGAGTGACAATGTTTTATTAAAACTTTTTTTTTTTTTACAAATATTGAAAATGAAGCTGTTGTCAGTCCCAGATTTTGGTATGTTTTGATTTCTAAATATTCAGTCTTTAGTTCCTGTTTCTGCTGTTTTAAATGATCCCAATTGCAATTTTTTAATAAAAATAAAGGAGCGAGCAACTGCTTTAAATATAAAAAGCACGAAGAGCTAATTAAGAGTCAGTTTAGAACTGCTGAGGAGAGAAATGAATGGGAAACACATAAGCAAAGGACTGCTTAACAGAAGTTGCTTTTGAAAGAAAAAAGGTTTTTGCAGACTGAGGGCTTCAATTCTAGGCGTTGTTGGAAATGCAGAATGGTAATATTTCTGAATAATCAAGATTTAGATATGGCCCATGAATATGAATGGAGAACCTTACACTTGGACTGCAGAGGAACAGTCCTCAGCAGTGCTAAAGGTTTCTTGTGTGGAAGCAAACTCTGATGGATCTCAGGGCATTCAAATGAAGCACCTGGGATGGGAAGAATGTAAGAGCTTCTAAATATCTGCACACAATGGTTAAAGGAGTTAGGCAATAAGATAGGACCAATGCCACTCTTTGCCAAGCCCTTCTTCAGTATTCATCTCACTAAGGCAGTGGTGGGATTCAAATATGTGAACAACCGGTTCTCTGTGTGGATGCCGCTTCTGGAAGTCTATTCTGGGCCTGGACAACAAAAAAATAGCTACCAGTTCTGCCGAAGTGGTGCGAACCAGCTGAATCCCATCACTGCACTAAGGGCTTTATACCAACAGTTATCTGTGCCATGAAATAACCATGAGTAGGGTCATTACTTCAGAATGGATGAGAAGAAAAATTGAGGTAATGAGCAGTTAACATTTGTCTGTGCACACAAATGGCTTGCTAAATATTTAAGTGCATATTTTTGCTGAATCATCATTGGGGGCAAACCCCAAATACTCAAGTTTCCCTTTAGTCTCAAGAATTGGGGAAGAGGATTTTTCATCTGCAGAATTAAATTCCAATGTCTTACTGCATTCATGGAATTTAAGCATCTAGAGCCAGGTTTCATGCTCTGCTTTGGTTCTCCAGCTTCACAGAAAGTTAGTGGAGCGCCCAGGCTCTAATTCACCAAAGAGCAAAAGGCCAGCAGGTAACATAAAATACTCAGTCCTATTCTGAAGAGTGTTAACAAGCAGTCACTTCTTCCAGAGACAGGCCAAGGCTCCACAAATTTTTCTGGGTTACATATATAATCCTGTACTTGCAATATGAGTTTGCAGTTTCCTGTGCAGCCTTCCTTATCCTGTCCCTTCCACCTACACTGCATTAAAAGTAATTCCAAGTTATCAGCCATGCTTACTGGGAGTTCTGAAGGTTGTAGTTCAACAATTCTGGAGCATAAGTTTGAAAAGATTACGCTAATAGATGTCTTCAAATACACTATTTTCTCAAAAGGAAATAGAGATTGTGATATTCACCTCTAAGAACAGATAGTCTGTAACTTTAAAAGACAAATACTATCCTTCTCCACAATATAGGCCTTCTATGTCTCCCCCCCCCCCCCAGTGATCACAGACTGTGCTGTCCGGCTATCTAGCAACATTTGATTGTGGTACGCCCTCCGTCAGCTGGCCTCTTTTTATATGCATCTACATTTGATCTCCATCTACCTGGAAGATTCTTCCTCTTAGTTTATTGAGAACAGCCCTATACACAGAGTCCTGCCATGCCTGACTGTACTTAAGAGAAACCTACAGGAAAACAAATAGTCACATTAGAAATTAAGCATTAAACAACAATGCACAATTAATTAGAATGTAAGTTTGAGCAATAGAAAACAGCAGTAAATGTGGAGAGGCTTTGAGGCTTGATATTATTCACAGATTTATCCCAGAGTAATAGGGATGTCACTGCAATATTTTGCCAGATCTATATGAACCATTATTCGTGATAATCTGCTGCATCTTAGAAACATTAATGTATTTATTATTGGGATTACGTAACTTTTGCTACTCATCTCTGTCAGAAATACTAGCAGGGGAGAGAAGAACCACTCAAAACAATTCTATTGGGTTGACTCATGAGGCTTACACAGTATGCAGCCTATAATAGCCAAGATCATTAATTACAAACAGCCACAATTTTTTTTTTAAAAAAAATGTCTTCTACAAAAAGATATATGCACATCCTGGGAATACTTCATACATTAGCTGAATTTAGAAAATGGTAATTCAGAGTGGACTCAAAAGTTAAACATGACAGATGAAACATCTGTCAGGGTCAGATAAACATTGGAATTAAATCAAAGGCCTCCAAACTTTCACTCTGGACAATTATAAAAGCTATTTCCTCACCCCTTCCCGTCCCAGCTTACTTTAGAAGTGAATGCCTTTATTTTTCCAAAGAGAGAATTCTTGCTTGTGAATAACAGGTCATCCTCTGCATCTTCCCCCTCCATGATGGCACAACTGTCAGCTGCAGGCAGTTCACCGTCCTTGGCACTAGCATTCATAACCAGCTTAGAGTATTTATACTCTAATCTAAAAAGATATAGACATATAAGAATCAGATGGAAGGGTTATACTTGTAAAGCAGACTTTGGATTCTTTTGCATCCTTGAGTTACTCTATCAATATCTTTTCCATTTCTCTTTTTAAACATGTTTTCTTTTTAAACTAGGCTAACATAGCCTTCCTCAAACCAGGTGATTCTCCTGACATCTGGACTTTAACTACCAAAATTCTCAGCAATGGCTAAATTAGGTGGAATATGAAGGCCACACATCTGCAAAGCACTAAGACTGGAGAAGATAATGCTGGTTTCTCTATTTCAAAGCAACACAAACATCAGTTAATATTAGAGATGTTAAAAAGGGTCTTTACTTAAAAAAGCATCTTTTTTTGGAGAAACTAAGCAATATTCATTTGTTACAAATTGTCTAGGTTGTTTCAAATAAATAACTATATAAAAAAATTTATAGACTAACATAATACATATAATACTTTATATTAAATGCAAGTTTGTAATTGCTGAAATGTTAAAAAGCAAATAAAAAATAAAAAAAACAAATTATTAACATGCAATTAACTTTACACACTTTTACATGGCCATTATGCAAAATATTAACATTTGAAAGCTGACTTGCAGCTTTTGCTATTGTCTGTTATGTTGTTCAAAACTGTCACCTGTTTTAAAAAATTAACTAGACAATGAGATAGGAGCTTTGCATAAAGTACCATAATAAAGAAAACCTTAGGTATGACAGAACTAGGTTCAGTGGATTTGGGATACAATGAACTTTTTGTTTTTCAAGGCAAAGTAACAGACAAGGTATTATTCAAACAATTTGTTATTCAATCTGAATGTTAATCACTTCTGTAAATGATGTCCACATATCTATTTTTATCAGTTTATATCATTTGCATGCTCTATGCAAATGATATAAAGTCATTCTTGCATAAATATGTCATTACATAAATAATGGAAATGAATAAAAGATATTATTTACTATTTTAATGAAGTTTCAGTTTAAATGTATTGCCTCTGATCCCAACAGTCCGCTAAACTGAAGATTTCTTGTCACAGTTGGAACTGATGACAAGTGGAGTGAAATAACTTACTTTTGATTTTTCTTCCAGAAGTAGCAAGTCATGACGGTCAGTAGGACAGCAGTACAAGTCCCAGCTGAGATGCCCACCTTAAGCCAGAAATCCATGGACTTGCAGATGCTGACTTTTTCTTCTGGAAGCAGGACGCCTCCGGCGCATAGCTTTGGCTTCCGCCATACATAGGTGGTTCGCTGTAGTGAGGAAAGCGGATCTGTCATAGCTTCAGTCTGATAAGCAGTAACACAGTTAAAGTCAATTGTCACAGCTGTACCCAGTGGTGGGATTCAGCTGGTTCGTACCACTTCAGCAGAACCAGTAGCTAATTTTTTGTTGCCCAGGCCCAGAAGCAGCATCCACACAGAGAACCGGTTGTTCACATATTTGAATCTCACCACTGGCTGTACCACTATTGCACACTACAGGGATCTTGAAAGGACAAGTTTAGGAACACTATCAGAGCTTTATTACTGAAATGGCTGCTGAAATAGAGTATTGCAAGCCTTCCCTATATGGCAGCACCCAGGTGTGCTGGAACATTTATCTCATTGTTCTCAGGCATGTTTCAGTCCAGTACTGACTGCCCCAGGTGGTTTGTAATTTGAATTCCTATGCATTTCTGTGAAAATCACTTGCCCTCTAAGTAAACATAGTTTGGATTTCCAGCAGATTTTTTTCCCCCTTTTCTTTCTCAGTTTGGGATCTCTCATTTTTACATGCATATTTACTGAAAGATTTAACAGAGCCCAGTAATCAATTAAATGCAAATTTAAATGTTGTATAGGAGCAAAGCAGATCTGTCATAGCTTTAGTCTGATAAACAGTCATTATTTAATAAAATAGTAAACGTATGAAGTAATACGTATTTGGTGCCAAACAAGTTTCTTTGGGGAAAAAAAGATTAATTCAAATATAATAAAGGTAAAAGTTTCCCTGTCCAGTCTGATAGCATTTATTTATTTATATATATACTGGCTGCCCATCTTACCTCAGGGTAACATTTTCGTAATTCTATTATCAAATCAGATAAAGATAAATCTTCCAGTATTACATTTTTTGGCTATCCCTTGTGTGGAAAGGATCTACAATTCTTGATGTCTTGATAAATTTAGAATATTAGGAGTTTAATCATTAATAATTAGTTAATAAGCAGCATTTGCTCTAAAGTCATGCTGATAATCCTGTGAGTTTCATCTTCAAATGTAGCAATAGTAGCACAAGTGCAAAAATCTGAATATTCCAATTCCTGAATTGAGTTTTTTAAAAACTTCATCACTTTTCAAAAACAGGAAATTAAAAGATAAACAGACAAGAAAGAAATGGTTTAAGAAAAGAAAAAAATCAAGAAAGAAAAAAGATGTGCAAAAGGAAAAAAAGTAAATTAAATAGAAAAAGAATGACTTCCAACTTTCTTTGGTACTGGTGTCAGTTTAAAAAAAAATCAAACTCTTACTCTTAGGTTAATATTGTTCTACATTATTTGTACAACCCCTTGTAGTTCTAATCATCAAATCCCCAAATCAGCATTTCTTTCTGTTTCTGGCAAAAAAAAAAAAAAAAAATCCGAATGAATTGATTCTTAAACAAAGTGATCCCAACATTTTATAATGTACGGGAAAAGTCTGATGGCCTCAGGCAATTTAATAAAAGAAGCCCCAGAGACTGAGCCCAAGCGTCTACCTGTATCCCTCCAATGCAGGCACTGATAATGGCATGGTAATCTTCTGCAGAACAGAGAGGACAGGCTTCAACTGACTCCCACAGGAAATGGAAAGTGCATCCATCACAGGTTCCATCGGGACACTTGCTATTTTGAAATTTTAAGAAACATCTTAAATAGAACCAAATAAAGACTCACTTGTGCAGAGAACAGATCAAGAACTGGCTGTCGAAGGTTTCAGCAAAGGTAATTTTCCAGCCCTACCATCAAGTATCCCTTAAACTAGCTGCCTAATGCTACCCAGAAGAGTTGGGAATTCTGGAAATTGCAGCTCCTCTCTGTCTTGAGGACATCAGACTAAGGAATTTTGCCTTAACCAATGATCAACATCATACCTCATGTACAGATTGTGTAAGAGTTGCTGAATTTCAAAGCAGTTTAATCTGAACATTTTGATATATTTTATTATTAAAGCATTTTTAGAAGTTCTTTTAAAAACTATAGTTACTGTGAAGAATACAGCACACTATATATAGTGTTGGAAATAGTTTGGGAGAGATCAAGTTGGTAAATGTGAACAAACAAACTGGATCTAAGACTGTATACTGCCAAACTAGATATGCAACTTTAGCTCCAGAAACAGGAAAAACTTCTAAGATCCTGAGAGCTACTAGCGCTCACTGTTGACAGTATTAAGTTAAACTAAATGAACCCATTGTCTGAATCAATATAAGGCTATAGTCTGCTGGTAACCGTAGAAATTCTCTTAGTAGTACAAAACTTTTTGAGGCTCATTCTTAAGGAATAACTTCAGAAGCTAGCTGAGCACTGTAATATTAAGAAATCCCACATTTCCAAGCAATCTTTTAAGAACAGGGAAGTTCCTTAAATCTTATAAAAGCATTACACTTGGCACTTCAGACAATATTTTATCTGCCTGAAGCAGAGGAAGGAGAGGAAAAAATAACATCGCAGTTGCTTGACATTACCTTGGTAAAGAGAGAGATCCAAACTGAAGTTTTAGGGGATCACATCTCAGCCTAATGGTAGTTACTCTTCCATCATGGCATGTCTGGGTCACATCCTTGGATCTGCAGTTCAGAAAAGTCGTTATCTTAAGAAAATCTAAACTAGGGTTCCTGAAAATGGTCAATATTGATCCCCCCAATATCCAAGGGTTCAGTGATCAGCTCCTCTTCCTCATTCCCTCTCCTCCTCCTCCTCTGACTCAAACAGAGTAGGCATTTCTTATACAATTGTACAAACTTTAAGTCCATGTGCATAGTTTGGGGCAATCAATGCCCTCTCATTATCAGTAAAAATACAAAGAATACATAGAAAATAACATTGCCAGTTTGTGAAATCACAAATCAGCTACCAGCCTTGGCTACCTCCCTTTGTCAAATGCAGATAATTCAGCGCTAGCAGCAATACAGCACTTTCTGCTATATTATTTCAAATCATGTTCTGGTTTGGAAAGTAAGATTTCACAAGCAATAAATTTGCCAAATTTCTCCAAGATGCTGAAATATTGCCAGGAATTTTTTGTCAGAAAAATACCATTTTTTCCCCACAAAAAATGGGGTTAAAACCTGATCATACCTTGTTTGACAGTTCTTTAGCTTACCTATAAAAAAATATGACATCAGGTAAGTGCTCATTTTCAGCTGGGAAATAATCAGCATGAGAAGTTATGTTGTCCAGAATATGTTTTGTTGTTACTCCTAGAGATTAAATCCCAATCAGTAAAAATACCACCACATAGGAAAGATAGAGAATACATTTTAAGGATACATTTTGTTCCCCAAAATATATTAAGTTAAAGGTTTTCTGCATCAGAAGGTAAATCCCATCTTGTATTGATTACTGTAATTGACACATACATTTGTTTTGTCCATAATTGATTTTTTTTCCACAGTATATCATGTAGCTAATAATATGTGACCTGTCTTTGGCTACTTATTTGCCAGTTCCAAAATTTGTAGTATATTTCACAAAAAAGGTCACATACTATTAGCTATGTGATACAATCTAAAAAAAGGAAGAAGCCACGTTTTGTGTGTGTGTGTGTAAAGCATGATGAATGGTATGAGCCACAACTTTGTTTTTATAAGAATGAGGAGAACTAAAGTGAAAAAGTGCCAAGAGGTACAGGCATACATAATCTTATGGTGACTTGGAGGAAGGAGCTGATACCCACAATGAGCAGGATGGTGGGGCTAAGTGTGGGAATGGCTCTACTATGAGTGTGGCCAAAATATTCTGGGTTTTTTTTTCCCCGTCTGAATTTGAGAGGAAATTTTCTTTGTTATTAAAAAAAATTAAACCATTAATAGTTGAGTCTGTGTCACAATTTTAACTAACTTTGTTAGGAGAGAAGCCTGGGCGGTGGTAAAAAGGGAATTAGTGAGCCTCAAGAAGTTGTGGAGGAAAAATTCTGCAAAGAATTGTGGAGAGGTGATGGACACCTGGGGGTCTTTTTTAAAGAAAAAAAGGATCCTCCCACCTAATATTTTCTATAGAATGATTTTGTTCTTCTGTGCCAGTGATTAAAGTGATTCTGCGAATACTGGGTCAGGATTTGGTTCAGTATTATGAAGATCACCATCTGGCAACTGCTTTTGACTTCTGTTTAGTAAACAGGCTAACATTTTCAATGGCTCTCACCCACAAAGGTATCTGCCAGGTTCACAGGCTGAGAAGAGACCATGGTTTTGTAACCCCTCACTTCAGAAGGAATCATGACGGACTGGCATACATAGGATGAAGTTGACTTGGAGAACTCAGTGTCTTTGCCCAAAATATGAATATCTGTGACATTATCTATGCAGAGAGCAGTCTTCTTTCCCTTCATGAAAAAACAAAAAGAGAGACTTGATAGCAACCATGCCTCTTATTGCTATTAAAAAGCGAGATGTTCTTTTTGAAATATTGTACAGGTAGTCCTCAAGTTACAACCATTCATTTAGTAACTGTTTTAAGTTACAACGGCATGGGAAAAAAGTGGCTTATGACTTACGACTGTTTTTATGACTTTTGACCATTGCAGCATTCCCATAGTCATGTGATCAAAATTCAGATGTGTGGCAAGTGGCATGCATTTATGACAGCTACAGTGTCCCTGGGTCATGTGATCCTTTTCTGATCATCCGACAAGCAAAGTCAACGGGGAAATCAGATTTACTTAACAACCATGATACTCTTAACAATTGCAGTGATTCATTTAACAACTGTGGGAGGAAAGGCCGTAAAATGGAGCAAAACGCATTTAACTGTCTTGCTTAGTGGTGGAAATTTTGAGCTCAATTGTGATTGCAAGTTGAAGACTAGCTGTAATCAAAAAAAAATCTATGAGCATTGTGCTGCAAAATTGGGGTTCAAAAGAGGTACAAGGAAGGAGACTCATGGACAAACACATTTCTCGGTTCAAGAACTCCACCTTCCTGCATTAAGTAGTGCTGTCCAAAGGAGGGTCCCTATTGCATTTGCTTAAATGCAATAAAAATTAATACATGAAAATACACATATACTTACATAATTTCCACATAGACTGATGTTGAAATGATGAAAGTACTTCAGGCCTTTTGAAGTAAAGCTTGGCCCTCCTAAAAAGGAGGTGCTGTTAGCCAGTCTGGAGAAGTTATACTCCAGAGTCCTATCCTTCATGCTGATTGAGAAGTGACAGTCATTGTAACACAGAGAATGTATCTAAAGAAAAAAAAGAAAACACATCCCAGCAGAAGAATTTAGAAACTGTTGACTTTGTCAGCAATAATAAGACACTCAAGTGTTACTGAAATGTCTAATACCAGCTCCTGAATCCCTTAGCGTCCTACTCAGACAAGCATTGCTTGCCCAAACAACATGGATGATTATAGAAAACAGAACATCGGAGAGGAAGAACTTAACAGCTCTTGTGCTATTTCAGTTTTAGCAGGAAGTATCCACTTTTTCTGAAAGAATATAATTTTATTTGTATTAAAGAAAAATCTACAATGATTCAATAAAACAAAAATACATATAAATTATCTGATGATTTGTGGAGGATGAAATTAAATCTAATTTATCATGCAATTCTTACAGACAGCATTTTACTCTTCTATCTGAAAGACTGCGTTCATGGATTGACCAACCAATTTAGCACATTTGATTATTGCTCATTGCCTATCTAGGGCCACAAAAGCAGTATGAGGATTTTTTTAAAAAAAAAATATCACAATGCTTTAATAACAGGATCAACATTTCAGATTCAGAATATTATATAAATTTATTGCCAACTGAGAGATTGTACCATATTCAGCAATGTATGCTGGAAGAAAGGAAAGACTATATTTTCAAAGAATATTCTGCTCTTTGTGTATGCACAGTATACAACTGAAAAAGTAGCTCAGGTAGTATGGTTCTGAGGCTCCTACTACTGTTGAATAGTTATTTTTGCTTAAGGCAAGTTTAGTTTGCTATTTTATTCATTGAACTTTGGACTTGGCACTCCAGCACCCACAGGGCCTTATCTGTCACAAATACCATCTTATGTCATGAGGATACAAAAAGTAAATGGCTAAAATCTTGCTTGTGCCCCAAAATTTTACAAGACTTGGAACGAAAAAGCTAAAATCTCCAATGAGTTTGGACTTTTAAAGTTAATTTTGATTATGTATTGAGCCTCTGTTCACTCTTGCAAAATCATGCAATGGCACATGCAAAAGTTTTATTTATTTATTTATTTACTTACTTATTTATTTATCATCTCACCAAAGGTGAATCTGGCCGATGCACAAAGATTGCTATCCCTGGCTTGGCTCTTTGGGATATTAATGCTGACAAATTACACATATAGTCCTCGACTTACAACAGTTCATTAATGATGGTTCAAAGTTACAGCAGCACTTAAAGTGACTTATGACCGTTTTTCACACTTGCCGTTGTAGCATCCCCATGGCCATGTGATCAAAATTCAATTCATGGGATCACCCTTTGTAGCTTCTGACAAGCAAAGTCAATGGGGAAGCCAGATTCACTTACTGTGTTAGTAATTTAACAACTACAGTGATTCACTTAACAAATGTGGCAAGAAAGGTCATAAAATTGGGCATAACTCACTTAACAAATGTCTCATTTACCAATAGAAATTTTGGGCTCAATTGTCATAAGTTGAGGACACTTTTACAGTATTTCTTTAAAATGTCATATTTATGTAATAAAATAGTAGATAGCTAATTTGGCCATCTGGAAAATTGTCAAAAGTGTAGAATAGTATGTTCTTTATGTTATGTTGCAAGCTCTTTTATTATAACTGAAAAGACCCATCATTTCCTGATTCAATAGGTAGCAATTAGAAAGAAAGAAAAGAAGTCTCCACTCGAATGTGCATTGGGACATATTGATTGGAGATGGAATGCAGCTGCTGACATTCTTAAAACTCAGCTCTTCTCAGTGAATCTTGTTAAAGAGACTTTCTGAAGGTTGTGTTAGGAGAAGAATCATGCTTGGTTTCAAGCAGATGTTAAGAATCTGACAAATTGCTACTTTCTGGCAATATATCTGAACCTAATATTTTATTAGGATTTATTGCTCTGATATTGGTTTCATTATTTTAAGTAACAACCCTTTGTCAATTTCAATATTTGCACCCCTCATGTTGCACTTTTGTTCAAATAATGATGTAGCTCCAGTTGTCACAGTACAGAAATTATGAACAGTAAAGAGGACAATATAGTACCTTGTTATTTTTTGTGCCAGGGCCACAAGGGATGCAAGCTTGCTTTCCATAAGGTTGGTGAGCTTTCAGGTAAGTGTTTAATGGACATGGAGAACAACCACCGGATGTTTTGTCAATGTAGTGCCCATGAGGGCAGGAAGTACAGGATGAGCCAGAGGTTTCCAAAGCGCACTGTCGGCAATAAGAAGCGACACCGTCTATGACATTGGTCACATTAATGGAGTACAATCTGGCAACATCATTTGTGTATTTTCTTCCCTGGAAGAAAACATAGAGTGTCACAAATGCCTTGAAGTAGCAAAAGTATTCAGTTATAGAGAAAGGAGGACAATTGCAGGAAATGCTGGGCAACGTCCGAACTTTAATGACCCCTATTTCTAAGAATAAACCTAATTCTTGATGAGGCTCATTCCCTAAAAGGATATTTGAAGAACTAGTAAAAAACGGATTTCTCAGTCTTTACCGCTTCGTCATATGCTGTCCTCTGGAAGGCCCATGTGAAACTCGTGGTAGCATTCTTCTCAACAATGTATGTATAGGATTGTTTTCCCTTGGAGCCAATCCAGGTTTCTACGGGGGAATTGGTTCTAGAATTCATACCCTGTCAAAGATGAAATAGCACAAATCTATGAATAAACAATACACCTAAACAACTCTTGATTTTAGATGTCGAATAGTAACTTACCACCATAAAATAAAGTTCACAATTCACACTGCAGATGGTTTCAAAGACAAAAGTGATTTCTGCTATCTTCTTATTTTCAGAGTCTTCCATAACTGATTGTGGTGGACTGCAAATGAATAAGCAGAACTCATGAATTGAAGAAATAGTTATAAATCAGGGGTGTCACTCTGGTGGCCCACGGGCCGGATGCGTCATGCACAGGCCATGCCCATCCCCGGTTCCACAAAGGCAAAAAAATGATACGTCATGATACATCACATGACACAATCTTTGACACCCACGCTATAGATGAAACATCTCAATTATTGCTGCTTCAGTAACTAGGTAATCAGAATATTTACTTTAGAAACTAGGTAATCAGAATATCGACATTCAGTGGTGGGATTCAAATACCTGAACAACCGGTTCTCTGTGTGGACGTAGCTTCTGGAAGTCCGTTCTGGGCCTGGGCCCCCGTGGGCCAGAACGGACCTCCAGAAGTGGCGTCCACGCACTTCTGGTGGGCTGTTCTGGGCCTGGGAGGCCTGCCCAGCTCAGAACAGGCTTCTGGAAGTGGCACCCACGCACTTCTGGGAATCTGTTCTAGGCCTTACGAAAAACGGATAGGGCTTCAGCTGGTTTGCTGAAGTCAACAAAAAAAATTAGCCATCGAACCAGTGCAAACCAGCTGACAGTGCAAACCACTATCTACATTCCATTTCAAATATATTCAGAAGAAGATATTCGAATGGAATCACACTTCAATCATACAGATGCATTGTACGTATGATTCAGTGTACAGCATACCAGTACACTCTATGCACATTTATTTGGTTGTGACAAAACAATACAAACTGCCTAGTTTTAAAGATCACATTTTAAAATTCTGTTAAGAATCAGGTCAATTTTTCCTTCATTGTCTCTTTCTGCCATTTGTTATTAATCATTGTAAAATAATGCAAGCAGAATACTGACTAGGAGAAATTAAATTTGTTTATGCAGCTTTCTTGATAACAGTACAGCAGGAATTTGCCACTGCATTCTTTTGGACCTTTTCTTTTGATTTTTCAGTGTAGCATACAATCATTGTATTTCACAGTAATTTTCCATCCAAGTTCTAACTAGATTCAACCATGCTTAGCTTTCAAGCCCAGGCATGGTTAGCCAAAAGCTACTATTGACTGAAGCTTACCTAGAAATTAAGCACATTGCTTAGATTAATGCTTTATCTGCACTTCCCACTTACCTATTGCACCTGCTCACACTGCTTTACCAATGCATTTCCAATAAATAGTTTAATTTGGACTAGTAACCTCACCTGAAGCCAGGAATCACTAATGTTAAAATCATGAAATCATTGTCAGAAGCTCCTGCAGTTGTGTAGATGTAGTCACCAGCCACTTCCCACCCTGAAAATAAAAATCAAGAATTAACCACATATATTTGACGGAAGATTGTTATTTCCATTATGTAATCTCATATTTAATGTGTGCATTCCCTTCACAGAAACACAAGGAGTCTATTGCTTTGAACTTATTCCCATCCACTCTGTAACATTTTAAAACTAGTTTCTCTAGAAGCATTTGGATCACAATTTGAGAAATTTTCCAGGGATCAGGGCTGCTACTAGCTGGGGAATTCTGGGGGTTCGAATTTCAACAAATCTGGAATGAAGAATTCAGATCATTGAAAGCTGTGATAACATAACAATGGAGTAGAGGTCAGTGGAGAATTGCATATTCAAGGGGCTCCCAGGAGGGAAATAGAGAACTGAAGATGTCTCCATGAAAGTGGAGCTGACAACTGCAGTGAAACACGCCCCTGAATAGACCCACTCTTCGAAACCTCTCTGAACAAGGGGAGGATAGGAGATTTCCCACATATGCTCCAGATAGCTGCTCTTTGCAAGGAGACTGAAGAACAGCGATCTCCAATTGCACATTAACTACTTTTAAATGATTAGAAACCCTTGGAACAACAATTTTGAGTCTGCCTTCAATTCTGAATAGAAGAAAATTTTAATCATGTTTGCAGCTTAAGAATTTAAAGTATGTGAAATTAACAGCAAAAAGCTAAATAAGGTTTTGAGCTTAGAAAGCTATAAATGGACTAAGGGTCCGGATAAAATTGGAATATTGTAACTTTTATAATAAAATTCTGGAATTAATTATAAAGAACACACAGCTTCTCATGAGAAATAGATTCTGATTTTGTTTTTGTAAGATATAACAAAGTTAAGTAATTTCATAATTTCAAAAAGTGGACACTAGAGGGACTAAAGCAGTGGTTCTCAACCTGTGGGTCGGGACCCCATTTGGGGTCGAATGACCATTTCATGGGGGTCGCCAAACAAGGCTGTCTGCCATTTTTCCCCCCTTTTCTTTGGCCACGCCCCTGGCACCCAGTGATGTATAAGTGGTTGGGGGTCACCACAACATGGGGAACTGTATTATGGGGTCGCGGCATTAGAAAGGTTGAGAACCACTGGACTAAAGTTTTTAGGGAAAGATTTACTAGGCTGTAAAATGTAAAATGATACAAAACATAATGAAAATACAGGAGACTTTTGAATAATACAATCAGAAAAGACTAGCCACAATATCAACATTATTGATAATGATGTCTTCTTCTATGAACAGACTATGTCCAAAAGTTGTTATGTACAGACGTAGAACAATTTTTATCTGACAGACCAAGAGAATGATTTTGAAAAGGAAGTTTTCAAACTGAAAGAGGTATTCTAGATAAGAAATGAGATATAAGATGAAGAGGCAATGGTTTGTAAGCGGAAATTGGATGAAGAGTGCAATGGTTTGTAAGCTGAAATTGGATGAAGAGTCACTAAATTGTTTATATTTGTAGTGATCAAGATTGAAAGTCATTTATATATTTCTTTTTTCTTATTGTATTCTTGCTTTTCTCTTTCTTCTCTTTTCCTTGCAATAAAACTAAAAATAGAAAAATCAGGAGATTTAGAGATGCTGATTTCTGAGGTAGTCATTCAATTCCTGTAATATTTTATTTTCATCATATAGAAACACATGGTTAGAAAAGACTTTGGAAAATTTCTTCTCTAACCCTAGGGCTGTTGTAATTGTAATCTTCAATAAAATTACTATAAAAAATAAACTATCCATTCACATAAGAGTAAATAACAAGTCCAGGGTAGGTTCGTAAACTGTCTGGGGGTGCAATTTAATAAAGACACACAGCACAACTAGGGCCTCTTGCATTATCCAAATGCATTAGGTAAAAATACACATTGGGAGGATACCTGCCATTCTCTTATATTCAAAACTGATTCCACTGAGGACTGTAGTCTCCATATTAGCTGGCAGAGTGTTCCACCATTTATATTCAAAGCCTACCGCAGGCTCGGTGCCAACCGGGCAATTGGTACAACCTGAGAACCAAATTAAAAGAAAAAAACACCAAACACACATACAGTCAGGAAAAAAATTACTACTGCTACTGACAGTCTTTAATTGGTACTGTGGTTAACAGCACTTTCTGAAACAGTGGTAAATATAGTACAGCTATGATGGTAGCAGCCTTTAAAAAGAGTGCTTTTAAGAAGATCCACTAAAACCAATGTTTGTCAAACTTGGCAACTTTAAGACATACAGACTTTTAATTCCCAGAATTTGAGACACACTGGCTATGGAATTCTGGTAGCTGAAGGCCACATGTCCTAAAGTTGTCAAGTTTGAGAATCACTGCACTAAGGTTTCATTCTGGCTTTGTTTTCTTTTGTAATATCTTGAAATTTTTCGTGAAAGTAGGCAGCACTTTTTCAGACATATAACTTGTAGAGCAGTCACAATGACCTTTTAATGGTTTGTTTTTTTCATTTGTTTTAATGGAGCAAACTGTTGTACAGGGAGTAATTCTTCATGTTCCAAATTAGTCAGGTATATCAAGGTCAAGAATAAATCAGTAATACCCTCGGTAAATCATCGCTAAAATTCTTGATAGCTTTGAAAGATAGCTTTGTTCATTTGGCTCTTTCTTCTTTTCCTGCTTTATGGATGGTTCATAAAAAAAACAACAACCTGTATTATACTGGAAAGCACACAATTTGGAACACCATACTGGAGAAGGTTAATCTAAGTACACCAAGGAATCACATCCTCACCAGTGTTGTTTAGAGTCTCGTAGCCCTGTTGCCTTTAGAAAGAGCAATGAATAAGGGGAAAAAAGAGAAGAAAAGCTCCCACAATAAAAGACCAAATTCTCTTTTCTGCCACTACTGAATCCAGGAAGTGCCCAGTTCATGCTTTCTAGAGGCGGTTCTCAGTGATCAGAGCATGGTGCCAGTTTAAACTGTTTGGAGAACCTCGTTTGTGTGAGTTTTATCTAATTCAGAAGGGGGAAAAAACAGAATAGCATTACCAGTCCCATTTGAGTATGTTCCATATGGGCAAGGCTTGCAGGTGCTGGCATTTGTCTTGAAAAAACCAGGATTGCAAGGGGGGCACATCACCTTTATACCCGATGGAGGTAATTTCACTGCCTTGGGGATGTCCTCATTGCAGATCTTTGGCTCAGCCCATTTATACATTAGCTGTGTCTGTGAAGATAAAGCTATCACTCATTCATCCATTCAGTCAATCAGTCATTCACTCATATATAAAACATTTTACAGCATTTTTATACGCAAAATAATTTATAATGGTCATTTCTTATACAGTAGTATAAACAATTTCATGCTATCCAGATATTTTGGTTCACAATTCCAGGATTCCTTTGTTGCTAGTCATATTAACTGTGGCTAATGGGAGTTGAAGTCCAAATTATCTAAAAAGCAAGGAATCATATATCTACAGTATGCAATGCATACAGCCTACAATAATTTAGAGGTTGTTGAACTATAACTTCCAGTGTTTCTAAAATGCATGGTCAATGAGAACAATTTTCACAGGTATATTATGGTATACTCTATTTCCCCAAATATACACAAAAATACAAATACGTATGAAGAAAAAAAGGACCACAGACTGAACTTAACTTTAAGTGGGACTTATATGCCAAAACCTAGAAGCAAAGTCAAAAAAAGGGGCAGAGCCACGATCAAAATGGCATTTGGTTCAATTTGATTTAATAAATTAAGTAAAACAATTATATATCATTCATCATGATTACTGTTCATACAAATAATAATTCTTCCTTCCTACCATATACATATATTTAATAATTTCCCCCTTCTCTCAGGTAACATAATTCAACCAAGCTACAGAAGGGATTTTGTTGGCTACCTCCAAGCATTTTAGGTGGCCCATATAGCCCATTGAAGTTCAATATTCAATACTCGTGGAACAGGGAACCGAACAAATATTCTGACTCTCCTTAAAGGTAAATAAACAATGGCTATATGGGATGTGTTAACCAATCCTTATCTATTTCAGGCCTTGTTAATCATTCTGATTATTAAGTATCCACAAGGAAGTGCATATGGCACTTCGCAGCAGAAACATTTTGAATAATGCTGACCATCAAGGCTGTGCTTCAAAAGACCCCCAAAAGAGCATCCCAGTACTGTATGGAATTCTAGAGGTTGCATACCTCCCCGTTTGTATCACAGGCAGTGTGGATATAAAAATAATCCTTATTTGTACAGGCTGGGCGAGGCTTGCAGGAGGAAGAACCTGGTTCTTTGTGGCAAAAGAAACAGCAATTAAATCCATGCAGATATGAGAGACTCAGGAATATTTTCAGCAATAAGCTATAAAAATATACTATACCTCATATAATACACACACACACACACACACACACACACATACACCCACACACATATTGTGGACTCTGCTTAAATTTCTGATTCTCTGTCATCAAGGTTTCAAACTGAGCTGCACCAATTCATTGTAAAGGAGACTCTGATTTGAACAGTTTCTACTGTCTTTTAATCAATATGGCAGGAAGAATTCAAACAATACAGGACTGTATATCCTAGTGTTTGTGTTAGCAAGAACACAGCGTAAATATTTCAACTTTCGTTGGTTTTTTTAATCTGAACTTTGGAACTTTGCCAGAGGAAGCAGAAAGGAACTAGTAAATCAGGTATGCTAAATTATTGCCTGCGGCCTCTTTGTTCCCTTTTTGTAGTCCCCCAAGACCACATTATCAACATTCAGGAGCTAGATTTTCCTACAATATTTCAAACACAAGGAGTAATTATAGGTTTGTTAAGTCTATAATTTCACTTTGCTCTTGCTGTTAAAATAAACCCAAGAACACTCCTCCATTCAAATTATTCAAAAGGGCCTCAAATCCTAATCCTAGTCCTTCTAGTAACATCACTGCCATGATCTCTGTGACCCTCAATTATTAGAAAACCAATTAGAAAAAAGCACAGTCCCCTGTCTACCTTTGTGGCTGCTGCTGAATGAGTCAGTGTCAATAAAGTGTAGCTGAAACAAAATCTAGCATGCAATATTGTAGCATTTAGGGCAAGGATATGACAAACACCGACAAAAATGGATGAGAAATCTAAAAGAGAATGATACCTGATTTTCAATTTGTACAGAGCACATGCGGTAAAGTTAAAGACCAAGAGGGGCCGATGTAAGATGACATTTATACATCTAAAGCTAGCATGGCTGGAAATGTGGGATAACTTGATTAAGAAGTACAAAAAATCAACTACACATAAAAAAAATGGCTGGGGCATGCAATGTATTACCTGAATAATTTGCTGGCTCACACTGTTGGCAAGAAGTAGCTTTTTTGGAAGAAAACGAATTTGCTGGGCATTGCTGACAGAAGGAAGAACCAGATTTGGCTGTATAGGTGCCAGCTTTACAAGGAAAGCATTCGGAAGTATAAGCTACACCTAGGGAACATGGAAAAAAAGATGGGGAAACATGTATTCAGCAAGCAACATAACCCTTTGACTACCCCCAGCAGCAGCTTGCGCTATGAATTAGACTAGAGATAGGCAATACCTTTCTGACCCATGGGACTAATTTTACACAGATAGCCAATCAGTCAAACGAGGCCCCTCTCATAAAGTTTCATCTCCTATTTTCAAGTTGCCTCACCCATCTGTCACAATCTGTAGTAAAACTGTACACCTGCAATTGCGGTTGTGCCCTGATCACATCAAAACTCTCTGAAGAGAGAAAATATGGAATATAGATATGGTCGATTGGAAAAGTGTTCAAAGTACTCATGTCATTCTGAATCATCTTCTTCTAGAACAGAAGATGGTGAGTTTTGCTCTGTTCAAGGGGAGCAGGGAAGATATCTGAGCCTGTCACTAAACCTGGTCCTCTCATTAGATTAAGGGCAAGCACCAACAAAACACAGACCTGTAATCCCAATGTTTTTCACCAATACAGGCTTGGGGTTTTTGGACCAAACAGAGAAAGCCGTTGTTTTCCAATACAAGACATTGTTGCCACGACTCAGCTCCACCTATAAATATTAAAAAATACAAGTTTGAATGCCCAGATATGCATATTGAAATGCAGTGTAGTTCCCAGTAGTTCATATATTTTTCCTTCCTCAAGTTACAGTTTTAAATTTAAAAACATTGTATACTTACACTGTGTTTCTCCCACCCTCTCTCTGTAGTTTTCATCCATCGAGAATCCTCCACAGTTGACTGGCACTGGTCATTCTGAACCTACAATAAATGATGATGCAGATAAGGATGCAATTTCTGTTCACAGGTAAAGAGATTTATTGGATTCTCTACAGTCAACACCCATTTATGGTGACATTATTAAATACAATTTGAACATATGCTCTACATCAGAAAATAGATGGAAATTCTTTTACAAGTTTGTACAACTAATGATATTCCAGAGGTTAACTAATTTTTTAAAACTGAGGTACCTTTCAGAGAATCCTGAAAATCCTGTGAAAAGTGTACAGTTCCCCATGTCTATGGAGATTCTCAGCCATCCAGGTCATAGTTATCCCAAAGGTGCTTTTTCATGAGGCAACTGGACTTTCTTCTTTTCTTTGAAGACGTTTCGCTTCTCATCCAAGAAGCTCCTCCAGCTTCTTTCACTTCTTGGATGAGAAGTGAAATGTCTTCAAAGAAAAACAAGAAAGTCCAGTTACCTCGTGAAAAAGCACCTTTGGGGTACAGTTCCCCAAGATGTTGTGCAAGAACATTTAGAAATAATATAAAACCTGACCTACTATAAAACATACTTTAATATTAATATTAAATTAATTACGTTTTTCATTTTGGCACTTATAGCTCTGCCTCTAAAAATGTATATATTTAAGGCTGTACATTGAAATACAGTTATGTTGTTCTTGACTACTAAAAAAAAATACAGGCTCCTTAAAGTATTCAAACTGATTCTGCCACACCTGGAATATTTTATTTAGATTGTAACATTTGAGTTGGAGTCTTTTAATGCCCATTTTATTGATCCATGGGGACCTTTTCTATTACTACTACTTTCTAAGAACAATATAAAACAATGGAGCAACTAATATTAATTAAAACAACACTTAAATGCATTTCAATATACTTTAGACATGCAAAGTCATCAAAGGGCATTTTAAAAGAACATGCCAGCAACAGCCTTAATGGTTCTGGACTAGAAGTAAATATTGGAAAAGTCTTCTTGGCTGTAATATTATTATAGTTATGGAAAGAAAAAGTGCTAAAATAACAAAGTTGTTACTTCAAGAAGCGCACAAAGCTATCACTTTGTTTTAAAAGCTCACCAGAACATGATGATTACCCAAATTCATCTATGAGCAAATGCAGTTCAAGAAAGAAGGAATATCTGGAAGGTGTTAACAGACTACTGCAAAACTGGACATAAATTTTAGTGGTGTTTGATTTAAATAAAATAGAAACAGTTTTATTCAACCTGGGAGGAGATACCAGATCACATGGAATGCAAATTCTGGAAAACAGTGCTTAGGTTTTGAAAGACAGCACATAATTGAAAATTTCTTTCATATAACGTAAAATAACAAAAACTTAGATAGAATCTTTTAACTGAACTGTAAGAAACATACAAAGAATTCAAAGACGATGTTGCTATCTGGGTAGATGTAGTCAAAGGAGACGGTCCCAGATTGCTTGAGGTTAATAGCGTACATCAGAGTAGCTATGCACTCATCTGTGTTGGAAGCAATATAATCTCCCTTAGGAACCCATGTTGACCTGGAACAGAAGAAAGAGCCCAGCTGTTGTGAGAGTACTATTGCACACCACCAGCAACAGGTATTCCTAAGACATTATAAGGGAAATTACATTTGGATCGAAGAAGTTACAAATTTAGATGCCAGATCTTGTATTTCCACAGAAAAGGGAATAATTTTTATGAATGATTAATTGTAATTTGTTTATATCAAGTTTACTTTGATCTTGAAAACAAGGTTATGTAACAAAAAAAGCTGCACCAACAGTAGTTGACCTATATCGGTATTATACTAATTTCATAATGAACAGCATATAACCTATACACTCATTTCTACTATATGCATATATGGATAAAGCCATGTGAAGGCCAGAGCATACCGATTCAACATTGTGTTTGTACAATGTAATACAATAATGAAAAAGAGGTGTGGGTACCTTTATTTTTCTTAACCGACTATATTGGAAAGCCTTTGGTCAGTCTGAAGTATGGCAGATGCAGATGTTTGCATGCTTAGAAGGCACAAAGTTGAAAATAACTGCTTTAAAGCATTTCCTGGACTAGTTTCTTTCCCCCTGATAATTTTATTAATTACATTAAACAGATGTAACAACCTAATTCAGAAATATATTAACAAGAAAGAAAAAGAAATATTTAAAAAGTGTACCAACCCCTCCCCCCGAAGGAAGTAGCAAGAAAAGGAAATTTCTACTGGACCAATTTTTCATATAAACAGCATAAAGGTAAATCACCACTGAGAGCTAATTTAGTATATTGATTATCAGGCTAGAAACCAAGAGACCATGAGTTTCAGTCCCACCCCAGGCATGAAGCTAGCTGGGTGACTTTGAGCCAGTCATGTCTCTCTTTGAACTGAGAGGTGCTCACCTTGCTTCAATTTTCAGTTTCTTCCCCTATTACGTTCGAGTAAAGAAGGCATTAATGTTTGAACAAAAATCTAGAAAATTAATCTAAAGCAGAAGAATGGCAAAGAATCAAAGCACTGGTGCTAATGTACAAAGAAGAAAATGTTATTCTGAGCTCCCACACTTAGAGACAAATTAGCTGCAATGTTTCATAAACATTCCTACTCAAAATGCTGTCAAGCTTTAGAATCTGCAGCCTTAAGGTCGCTGGCTGGCATATAGAGGTTGACTTTCAAAACAGACATATCCCAGCATTAATAACAACATATTCACTTACTTGGTGCAGTTTCCCAAGGACTCCAAGAGGTTGTAATCAAGTTCAAAATTGGTTGCTATGCTGGCAAATCCATGGGGCAACTCATCCCATTCATCGAACCTGACACCAGTCCCAAGAGAATACGTGCCCTCTGCACATGGCTTGCATGACTGATTTTTCATATCCAAGAATTCACCTGCTTTGCAAGAAAATGCTGAAATACAGAAAATCACCAAAACAAAATCAGGTCAAAAGATGAATTTAGACTAGGGCTAGGCAACCTTGGCACTTTTATGACTCATGGACTCAACTCCCAGAATTCCTGAGCCAGCCATGCTGGCTCAGGAATTCTGGGAGTTGAAGTCCACGAGTCATAAAAGAGCCAAGGTTGCCTAGCCCTGATCTAGACCAACACAGGCAGCTTCAGTGAATCTGTTACAGCTGACTTTATAGAATGACACCTTCTTATAACACCTTTGAGTTGTGTTTAACATCTGACAAGACTATTTTTTTTAGATAAAATGAAAGATAGACATGTTTGTTAATTATATTTTATATTTTCATTGCATACAAAGCTTCATTAGATACATAGCACCAAAATATAATTGAAATAAAGCTAACACAAACAACACAAAGAATTAAAGAGAGTAAGGGCTGTTCCACATGACCAACCAGCCCGCCCAAAAGTTTGCATTCCTCGAAATAAGTTCCATTAAGTTAATGGGCCTTTATAAAAAGTGGATATCAAACTATACTGTTAGACCTTGTTTTATATAAAGACAAGTTTATATGACTCAACTATAATGAATCTCATGTTCACACAGTTTAACCCTTCTTTTCCTCTGCTTCCCCTATTAGAGGTTTAAGCATCACACCAAGGCATGTTTTCTTTTAACTACAATTTGATAGATAAGCCAAAAGGGTTAGATTCACACATAACTGTAAGCCATAAACTATAGGTTATAACTTATACTATCTGAATTCACACTTATTAGCCCATACCAAATCATACAATGACAGAGCTTAGTACAGTGGTTCTCAACCTGTGGGTCGGGACCCCATTTGGGGTAAACGACCATTTCACGGGGGTCGCCAAACAACGCAGTCCGCCATTTTTTCCCCCTTTTCCTTAGCTGTGCTACTCCATTTTATTCTATTGGCTTTTGAAAGCCAATAGAATAGACTCTCTTGAATAGAGTCTAATTCTATTGGCTTTCAAAAGCCAATAAGAATTGTCCAGGCTGACTCTGCCATGCTGAGCCCGCCAAAAGTCCCATTCTGCAAACGGTGCTGCACCAGTTGAGTAGTCCTCGACTTACGACCAGTTGAGTAGTCCTCAACTTACGACCAGTTGGGGGTCGCGGCATTAAAAAGGTTGAGAACCACTGGCTTAGTAGAATGGAGAGAGTAGAAATTTTAATTTCTAATTTTTAACAACTTAGAGCACTGTTAATTACAGTGTGATCCTAGGATCTCTGCGACCCCAAAACCCCAGCTGGGGTCCACAAAAATCAAAATTATTTGCCAGCTTATGTTGAAAAACAATACATATTGAAATTATGAGAAAAATACAACAAAAAAAATATGGTAATGATTCCTTTGTCTACATGTTGATGGAAATTTGGGCATCTTACTTCTTTTTATACCATTTCCCTATAAACATTAAAAAGAGAGCAATTGAATGATCTAAAATGGGTAAAAAGGTCTATCTGATATTTTGTGTTATTTAAATATTTATGTCTTATCTTTCTTTATAAAATTCAGAGTTAACAATGCCAGAGTACGAATTACTCATTAATATGCTAGCTCCAGAAAGCCTTTAGGCATGTGATTGATAGAATGATAGACTATAAAAATGATGCATGACAAGATTGAGGGAAGTAAAAGAATAGGAAGACAGGGAAAGATAAAATAGATGAAAAGGATCAAACAGATGACTGGAATATTCTTGGCAGATCTATGTTACTACAACATAGATAGTTCAAAATGGAAACCAGTTGAAGCAGTTTGATGAAACCTTATGAAATAGCTCTTAAAAGTGGGATGTATGTTTCCAAAGATACAGTATTTTTACTTCTAACTATTGATAGTAACGCTGGAAATAACAATATGTATGGAATGTAATAGAAAGAACAAAAATAGCTATGTACAAATACACTGATTTCAATTTTTATGTCCCATTTGGTATCATTATGCTATAAGTAATTCTGTACCACTGGAATAAAAATGAACAATGTAATAGTTAAAGTTAAATCAAAATTATATTTCTAAGTAAAAGTTGTATTTTCTTGTGTGAGTGGATATATAATGTCTCTTCTAACATACTATTTATCTTTATCAATTTTTAGAAGCACATGTATAACAAGCTTATAACAATTCTTTAAAAATATTTGTGGTCCACTTGATTATGGACAAATTAATATCTAGTGTGGTGGTCCTAATTACAGTTTATTTAAAATTTAAAAATTCTTTATTGATGTGCTGGCTTTGTATGCAACATAACATCTTAAATTTCTGAATGCTTTTATTCAGATACATCCCTGGTCAGAAGAAAAATATGACAGAGAGATATTTTAGGTCAGTTGCAAATTGAAATGTCTTCCTTTTGAATATTCAAATATTGGAATTGGAGAATCAGGTCTACATCCAAGAAAAGAAATTGTTAAATAAATCTACTGAAATGATAGTGTTGCCCCTGCTCTTAAACAAAGTAAAGTATCTTGTGCCATAGAGTAACCTTTGTCTCTGCTTCTGATAATGTTTGAAATGTCAAAAGAAAGAAATTGGTGGCAAACAAGAAAGATAGGTGGCAGCAATCATGGCTTACAGCATTTTGTGCCTTTGATGGGATCTGGCAGGCCAGTGCAGAGTCCTGGGGTGTGGGGCACAGCAACTCTCCATCTGGAGCCCAGGCTGTTACATGCTGTATATTCATAATGGTATTCAGACTGGAAGAGGAAAAAAGAGAGAGAGACCAAATAACAGGCATTTAGTCCAGGTGACAGACATTATTTTTCTTATTTCAGAAAATTGTTTCTCTGCAGGACCTAAGAGAACTTTATTATTTTAACTTCTATAAACTATCACAAGGGTAAAAAAAAAAAAAAAAAAGAATCCAACTCTTAGAGATTTCAAATCATATTTTTGATGTGAAAATAGCATACAAAACATATTATGGGCCAGCCTTCAAGTTTCAGTTCCTAGCGACTTATCATTTCATGATCTATTCTAAAACACTTATTTCTAAATCTACGGAGGTAACCATTTAGCCAAAGCAGGAAAAACTGCAGTTTTGTAGCATCTTAAAGACTAAACCACAATCCCACTCAGAGAATGCATCAGGCATTTTTCTTGCAGGCTATAGCTAAACATCTGGATTTGGGGGCTGTTGGGGGGGAGAGAGGACCACTATAGATAGTCCAGAAATATAGAAAACTAACTTGTGGTTGCCATGTGGCTTCTGGATATTGAAGACTAAGTTGACCAACCGTCCTCCTTTAGGGAGGACAGTCCTCCTTTTGTGAGTTCTGTCCTCCCTCGAAAAGTGTCCTCCTAAATGTCCTCCTTTTCAATATTTGAAGACTAATCTGCAGGGCTTTTTTTGTCTCATAGAACACTCAGAACGGCATTCCGGCACCTTTTTTTGATGTTTTTTTTTCAACTTTTGCATGAGCTGTGCTACTCCCCCTATTGGCTTTCGAAAGCCAATAGGAATTGCTGCTGAGCATACCAAAACACGGAGCCAGCAAAATTTGCACGTGTAAGTTGTCTGCAGCGAAGGCGAATTGGCAGGAACTTTGCACCCCTCCCTGCTACCCAAATACACCATCTCCTAGTTAGTCCCGAAGATACCTGGAGGACACTGGAGTGGTGATGCTATGGTAACTTTCTCTTGATCTTTGGCCCTGCTAGGGCAATAATGGCTGTGGGCGCAAGAGGCAGGGGTGGCGGGACTGCGGTGGGTGGGGGTGTGAGGGGCGGCGGTGGCTGGCTGCCCCCCATGCTGTGGGAGCTGCGGGGCCTGCTCTACACGGGGCTGTGCAGGGTGGGTGGTGTGCTGGTGGGGCGGCTGCAGGTGGGGTGTGTCGATGGCGGCTGCCCCCCCGGGGCCAGAGCCAGCGCAGCTGGTGCTTTGGGAGCTGAGGGGCCCGCTCTACACGGCGGGGCAGCAGTGCTGGTGGGGCAGCAGTGCTGGCGGGGCAGCAGTGCTGGCAGGGCGGCTGCAGGCGGGGGCGCGGCATGCAAGCATAATTACAATATAAAATGTTATTGTTACAAATGTTTTTATTATGCATTTATCATATTATAGTGTATTCTGTATTATTGCTGCAATGAATAAAATGTTTCTTTTATTTACGATATTTTTTCTTCAATTTATTTGTGTCCTCCTTTTCATTGTAAAAAAGTTGGTCACCTTATTGAAGACCAGATCTCTAGTTTTATTACAGAGAAGCAACCTAGAACTAAGGAGAAACTTCCTGACAGTTAGAACAATTAACCAGTGGAACAACCTGCCTCCAGAAGCGGTGAATGCTCCAACACTGGAAGTTTTTAAGAAGAAACTGGTCAGCCATTTGTCTGAAATGGTATAGAGTTACCTGCCTGAGCAGGGGGTTGGACTTGATGACCTCCAAGGTCCCTTCCATCTTTATTATTATTATTATTATTATTATTATTATTATTATTATTATTATTATTATTATTAACTATCCTAATATGCCTACTAATCAACAACAACAGATTGTGCTACTGACCATACTACAAGACTGTGCAACAATCCAGATTCCAAAGCTATCTCCATATCTACTCAGGTAGCAGTAGAACAGGACATAATACAATCAGCCCAACTTCAGACCTTTGCTCCAGTTCTAATCTTATATATGCCTATTGTCTGCTAGTAATGCTGGATTTTACAGCAAGCAGACTAGCCAATCCTTATGCCAAATCTATGAAGCCAAATCTGATATCAAAAGAGTAAGCATAGTACTGTAAATGTTTGTCAATATCTCTGGGTAAAAAAATCCAAATAAATTCAAAAGTGAACTGCTACCAACCATGCAAGTGTTTCTGCGTTTGGGCATTACTGGCAAATTAAATAAACACATTAATTGCATATTATCACCCAACCTGCTTTCTCTTTCTCCCATACATTTTCAGAAAGGTATGTAGTTTCTGAGTCAAGATAATACAGTAAAACTTTCTCACCTATGAAAGCCCAACTTGAAAAATAGAACTTGGAAGATCTGGGACCAACATGTTTGTTTTAATATCATGTGTGCTTGTAAATGCCTCTCTTTACTACCATTTAAGATCCCGATCCCTTTAAGACCTAAATATGTCACCAAACAAAATTATGTTTATTCTAGCACAATAAAGATTAACGTAACAATTTGTTTATGAAACAGTTCCCTGAGAACCCAAATGTGGAGTTTGCCTGAGAAAGAAAAATAAGTATATTTCTTTAGTATTCTAAATGGATAAACACTCTAAGTATATCTGTATCTTACAGTACAGTATTCTAAACAACTGCAATTGAGCATAAAAGGCAATGCAAGTGCATAGCTGCACTATAAATGCAGAGTCCTGATGGCATAGTGGTTAGAATGCCATATTGCAGGCTAAATCTGCCCACAGCCTGGAGTTTGTTCCTGACAGGATTCAAGGTTGACTCAGGCTTCCATCCTTCCTAGGTTGGTAAAATGAGGACCCAGAATGTTGGAGGGCAATATGCTGGCTCTGAGAGCACTATAAAGCATTATGGGGTGGTATATAAGTCTGCTATTGCTATATAACAATGTCTTCTACTTCCTTGCCAACATAAATTGTTGATTGGGGGCAGAGAAGAAGGACTAAAAAAATGAACCAAGTCCTTTTAAATACTATATTTCTATGTTTTTACTAGCTAAATACATCTATCACTGAATTTCTGCAACAGAGATTTTACAGATTGTTCTGCATATGTATTTTGATATTTCTTCTGACTATAATATGTGGGCATGTTACACTAAGCTTGGTTAGCCAAGCTACAAATAGCCTGAAAGCTTTATTGCATCCATGGGTGGAATCAGAAGAAATGTACAAATGGGTTTGATGGTGAGCACTATGGGGTTAATTACTGTAACTGCAAGATGAACATAGTTAAGTTACATAGCAATTTTTAAATTCTATATTTTAATGTAATCCTAACATTGGACTGAGACCTTTCACTATCCAGGAAGTTTTAATAATTACCTTGCTCAAATACGATAATAGTTGTAAGGTCAAGTTGTCTAAGTTCTGATTCAACAGAAAGCAAACATAGATGTGCCAATGAATGACTTCAGGCATAACAATCATCAACATCTGAATGCACGATTGCCTCCCCATGGAAAGCATGCTAAGACTGCATCTGTCACCTGTGCAGCTGCTCTTACTTCAGACTGAACCTAGTTCTGTTAAAAAAAAAAATCTATGGGCCACACATTGTAAGGCAGGAATAGCCAATCTATGTAATCTTAACTACAGTGTGTAACATCCCTTAGTACTTGATCCATCTCCAGCGTCCTTCGAGAGATCTTTGAGATGACTGGCCAGGATAAAATATTTTTTCCCAACCTCAATTAAAACCATCCCAAGATGCCTCTCTGTTTCCAATAGTCCACACAGTTCTTAGAAAATAAAAACCAAGCTTTATATTTCTTGTTAAATAAAAGTACTAGAGAACTATATTGTTCAGAGAACACTTTCTTTCTAAGCTAGCAGAGTGGGGAGCTCAGGCCTCCCAATTTAAGGATTAATCTAGGTTTGTTTGGAACACACAAAGCAGCTTTAAGTGAAAGAGCAATAACAACAAAAGATAGTCTAAGTAAATATTATTTTCCCCAGATGAGAATTTCATGAGGATTGATCAAGCCAGCACCTTTGCTCTCCAAATATATTTTCTAACTTGGTTTAATCTGATTTCTTGGATCTTGCTGTGTACATCCATATGGAAGAACAGCTGTTACATGGGCAAAGTGTTCTTTGCAGTTAATCACCTTGAAAACCAATACCTTCCCAATAGAGGCCAGGAAGGGATGTTTATGCAGGAGTTTAAGCTAACACTGAAGGCAAATACAATCAGCAGGAAAATTGATCATAGCTATATGACAAAATATAAAGGGAATTTAAAGCAATAGTTAAATATTCTATATCACCGCCACCCTTGTTTTAAAAAGAAGACAATGGTTTGGACCTTAAAGTGCAGAAACCTAAATATCTTATTTTGGAATCCTTTTATCAATATACAAATTCATAGATACATATACAGTATATTCAAGACTTATTTTATCTGCCCAGGACATGCTAGAACTTTGTAAAACAACAGTAACAGTGAAAAAGGATCACTTTTGTTCTTATATTTATTTTTTTATCTCCCCTTTATTACTGTTTATAAATAACTGAAGATGGCAAACACACCCAATACTGCTTCTGCTTCCTATTTTTCCTACAGCAACCTTCTGAGGTTATAGCCTGTATTGTATTGTATGTGGTACAGACCTCACTAAATACCTGGTATAAGTTCTGTTTCCATTTGTCACTCACACTTGCAACTTAATATGCACATAAGAAGCCTACCTGTGCAGAGTCAAATGTACAAAGACCTTATCTGTGCAATCATTAAATACACAACCTCTGTACTTTTAGAATCTAAGAAATCTCAACCTGCAAGCTCTTAAGAAAATGAAAAGAGAATAAGAGATCACAGCTTTTAAATATCCTAGTAAGGCAGTAAAAGCAACTGAAGGTTGGGATAGAGGTCAGTATTGTCCCAATAGGCAGAGCACAATGACCTTTCGTATATTTCTGTAATCTCTCTTCCCCACTAGATCATCAGATAACATGTTACACCGAATTACCAGAAGCAACCTAATTCTACAACAGAATTATGAACCATTTGAGAACTGGAAATAATACCATTTTTTTTAGG